TTTTTCATCTAAGTATTAACCACTGAATTTAAAACACATTTTTGGTTTATTTATACCTGCAAACTCCTATATCTTACCTGGTTTAATTTTTCAGTGTGATTCAGCCTTGAAGTCTCTACCACATTTGACTTAAAAGTCTTCTCCGCGTTCAGTATTTGCTTCGGTGGCTCCAAGTTTGAAGAGGGTTGCGAAAAGCGAGCCTTTGCAACTGGTGAGACTGTAGGGTAGGACCCGTGTTGTTTCATTCTAAAAGTCTGGGTAAACATTCTGTCTCCTTTTGTAAATAAAAGAAGAGCAGAGAAAAGTCGTCACTAACAATTTCTACTTCATTTTCTGGTGATTCTATATAGAGGCTACTGTAACCTGCCTGCTCTCAACTTAGAAATAACAATTATGGAAAGTAAGCTTACATTTTCATATTGCCAAATAAAATTTACATACAATGGAAGAGATTAGTCCTCTATAAAAGAAAACCAAGAGATCATATGTGTGTTACTGAAACGGTTGGGGCTATCTAAAAACTCCATTCAAGATCATCTGAATATAATTACAGAGGAAGGTTTCAATAGGTAAAAACCTAAAAACCTGCTTTAGGAGGCCAAAAAGTCTCCAACTGAGGAATCTGCTTAAAATTTTGCTTCTCAAACTGGGTAATCACCTAGTAGTATGGGAGCAGGAAAGGGGGATAAAAAGCTATAGAATAAAGGATATTATTTTAGAGTACAGGTTTTTTTCTTCAAGATCTATAGAGAGGAAAATACCACTGGCGAGATATATGCTCATGTATAACACGAATGATCACTAGACCTCACTGCAGCCTTTCTTTACCATAAGATCAGGCTCCCTCCACCCAAAAAAAAAATTGTTTCCAAGATATCCTGATGATAGAAAGAAGGGTCCACCGATGAGAAACATGAACAATCCAATTACTGAGAAGGGATATCACTGCCCCCATTCAGTAAGTTGGCAAGCTGCTTCATACACATCAACCTCTTGTACCTTTAATAACATGGGCTTGTCTCCCCAAGAATACTGATATTGCTTATGGTTGAGGGTTATATTCAAAACACTCACTGGCCCCTGCAGTCTTCTCTGACCAGAGCAAGTAAACCCCCTTGGATACCTTCATCAAATTACATTTCCTACCATAGTTTAAGTACTGGCTTCTAAACTGGAGACATTCTTATGGTTTAACCTACATTAATCTAAATACAGACTTTAGAGGAAAAGAAAAATTACTGAAATAGGCATAGAGATTCCCAAAATAGGCTCAGTGTATAGATTCTGTATTGTCAAGGGTCTAGTGAGGCACTATACAAACAATCACATTGGTCTTCAGAAACTTTAAGAGGGACAGTGATTTAGGGATGAAAGGTATAGCATGCAGCTCATGGCATTGTAATAGCTTGTAGGACAGATGGTAGCTACACTGTGGAGCACAGCATAACGTACAAAGTGTCTACATCACTGTGCTGCACACCTGAAACTAATATAACATTGTGTATCAACTAGTCAACTATACTGCTATATATGTATATAGTAGTGTGTGTGTGTGTGTGTGTGTACATGTATATGTATATGTATAAACATAAAAACAAAAGGGGCAATGACTTGGTAAGAAAAGCACTGGCTGAACAGTATTAAGAGCTGTTTCTAACCCTGGCTGTAGCACCTTTCTAGCCATGTGACTTTGCAAAAGGCATTTAAGTTTCCCGAGCTTTGTCTTCCTTATCCCTAAGATAGGGCCATTTACTCTTCTATGGTGTGGCCAGGAGAATCTAAGGTAAAATGCTATAAAAATGGTTATCGTTACACTATAAAAATTATTGCAGTCCCTACTAGGATACCAAACATCAGTGCCAGCAAAACTCGGATGGCAAATGCTACTAACTAGTATGATTTTTAAACTTTTCATTTTCCCTATCTTCCTTACAGGAACATACATGACTAATGTTCACTCACACTGCTCCAGAAAAAGCAGGCCTTGTATTTTTATAATAATAGCTACCACTTATAATAACCTTACTAAATGCCAGGCACTTTTCAGACCTCATCTCACTTTATCCTCAGCACAACTCCAAAAAGCAAGTACGATTATTCCTATTCTAGAGATGAGGAAACTAGGCTCAGATGTTTCAAGTAACTGGAGTGAGATCACTCAACCAGCAAGTGGTAGATCCAAGATGCAACTTTGACAAACCCTGGGAGCTTAGACATTATGTTCCTCTCTATCTGACATGACTCCTCCAAAATCTGCTATCCCACAATTACTAGTTACTAAGTACTCATGCTAACATGCTTACCTGCTGGCCATGCTTTCTGCTTTTCCTCTGATATGCTCTTCCTTAGCGTCAACAAAGACCCTGCTCTGGTCTGCTCTACCGAAATGACATCTGAAGCAGCATTAAGTACTTCAAACAGAGAGAGGAATCCATACTGCACATACTGGAATGAACGTCCAAATCGCCTGGCAAATGCCTTTTCAAAATCAGAAAGGAGAACAGGGGATAACGCCAAGAGGTCTTTCAACTCACTCTTCACAACAGCTGGAAGAATGGGGGGCACCCTTCCCCGGTAGGGAACTCGCCGACGGGGGCTCGGCCCAGAGCAAACACTGGTCCTTCCCTTTGGCATGGAATTTCGAACCTTATGGTTGCTCCTCTGTTTTGCAACTAAACTTGCTATTCCTTTGGTGGATTCATCTGGAATGGCTAAGGAGGTGTGAAAAAAGAAATCACAGTTAGATGGAAGTGAACTCCTTTCTTTACCCTTGTATCTGTGCTTATACGATTTTAATTCTCCAAGGAGCATTGTATCTGGGTAGCATGATAAACATGAACCCTTGGTTCCTCCATTTCTTTTACTTTTTTTTTTTTTCACTTTAGATAACCACTTGTTAGCTCCTCTATCACAAGATGAAGACAGAAAGAACAAGCTCAATATTTATCATTACTGCTGACTCCTGAAATATCGGAAACTCTCAAGATGAACAAACTTCCCTGCAATGTTTCTGTGTGTGTGTGCTTCATGAAATTTAAAACATGATTTCATAGTGAAGAAGTCCCATTGTTACACTTCTCCCAATTTAAGGTGCAATAATCTGAAATCACATGCAAAATGTAGTTCCGGTGAATGCACGTTTTTCTGGAGAAATACTTCTTGATTTTGCTAAAGCTTTAACTCTGCCCATAACTTCAAAGGTATGGGGCGCCTGGGTGTCGGTTAAGCGTTAGACTTCAGCTCAGATCATGATCTCACAGTCCGTGGGTTGGAGCCCCACATTGGGCTCTGTGTTCGAGCCTGTTTCGGATTCTGTGTCTCCCTCTCTCTCTGGCCCTCCCCTGCTCATGCTGACTGTCTCTGTCTCTCAGAAATAAATAAAACTTTATAAAAAAACAAAACAAAACAAAACCCAAAGGTAACCACTTTCCTCCTCAAAAAATTAAAATCCCCTGCCTGGGGACACCTGGGTCCAGCTTTGTGCTGAGAGCTCAGATCATGAAGCCTGCTTCAGATTCTGTGTCTCCCTTTCTCTGCCCCTCCCCTGCTCATACTGTCTCCCTCTCCTTCAAAAATAAACAACCATTTAAAAAAAAAATTTTTTTTTTAATTCCCCTGCCTGGGATGCAGGATAATTGCTATAACTTTTTTTTTTTTTTTTTTTTAGGTTTTTAATCCCAGTTAACATACAGTGTTGTATTAGTTTCAGGTGTACAACATAGTGATTCAACAATTCCATACATCACCTGGTGTACACCTTAATCCCCATCACCTATTTACTAGAACAATTCTTTACTAATTATTACTTAGTTTATAGGCCTTCAAATCCCAAGCTTACCTTTCAGTATTACAGTACCATCCCCACAGGGGCAGACAGTGACAACATCAGGCATGTCCAACACCAGCTCCATAGTGGACCGATACCCAAGGAGTCGGAGCGGCAAATGGCTGCCGACCATCAAAAGGTACTCCTTTTCCAACTGCTGTGGGGTCAAACCATCTTTGGTGGAAATGAGAAGTGACCTGATTTCTTTCCTCAGGCATTCCTGCACACGCTCTTGTTCAGACATTGCAGCCTACCGGATTTAAGATAGAAACATGGCTCCTTAGGAAGGCAGGCAAACCCTAGATGGAGGGAGAGTTTAAAAGGATCAATAGTGGAATATAAACAATCGACGTGAGAGTTCTAAAGGTGATAAAGCAGAAGCAAAATCGTGACGGTCCTCTGAAAGCTGGCGTTTCACACAACTCAAATTCTAACTCTCAAGCTGCGTCGATCCACCTGCACGCGTCTGGAGAAACCGCTGCCCCTGGCTAATGTGTGCTTAATCCACGTTCCTGGCCCGACTTCGCTGAAGCCCTACTCAGGGATCGTCTGGGGTCTCTACACCGCACACTGCGCATCAGACGCAATCATCGAAGCTGGGAAAAGGCCCGGGAAGGAGGCAAACGCCATACCGCCTTCCCCGGCGCTAGGGGAAGGTAAGGACGCTCGTACCCGCATACCTGGCGCGGTCCAGACCCACCGGGAGGCTGCCCGCTTCCTCTCACCCAAGTCAACGACCCCGTCTGTGCCCGGGAGACGGGTCCCCTGCCCGCCCCAACGTCCCTCCCCGCCCCCGGCGGACCGGGAAGCTGCCCTTCCCTCAACCTCGGGGACTGTTCACGCCGCGGGGTGCAAAGACCGGCGACGCGGGAAGGCAGGGGGAGCGCCGCCCCTCACCCGTGTCGCCCGCGGTGAGGGCGCTGCCGTTGCGGGGCCCGGGGAGTCAGAGGCGCTCTCTCGCCCAGCCGCCTCGGGGGAGCAGGGCCTAGGCGTCCGCGCGCCTGCGCATCAGTGCCCGAGGGCGGGAGGCGTGCGAGCCGCGCGGCGTCCCAGCCCCGAGGGCGCGCGGCGAGCGGGACGGTTGGGCGGGGCGGGCCGCTCGCGGGTCCCGGCTGGGGGCCGGCCGGCGCGGGGTCGCCACGCTAGGCTCTCGCGCGGCGTGGGCTCCCTCGGGGGGATCGCCGGCGCCTACCTCGTCCAGCGTGGCTGAGAGAGACTCGAGGTGCGGCCGCGGCTCGAGAACCACTCCGACCACATCCCGGGCCCGGCAGGGGCCAGGGCAGCGGGCCGTCCCGCCCTAGGGACAGGCAGATGGGAAGAGGAGGTGGAGGGGCCCTGGAGGTTCTTGCCTTGGGTGTGCCTCAGAATCACACCCAAGTGGAGCTTGTTTAAGGAGAAAAAGGATACGCAGGTCTGATCGACGGGGGGGAAATTACAGGCAATTCTGAAGCTTGGTGTTGAATCCCTGCGGAGCTAGATACAACTTAGGCTCCAAGAAGAGAGGAATGGGTGGGGCGCGGAGAGCTTCCTGAATGAGTGTGAAGAACTTTCTCGGTGCCACTGGAGACAAACGAGCTGGAAAGTAAAAAAAGGGAATGTATTTGGGTAAATAACCTGGGGATGTGTTTACTGGGTAGGTGGAATGAGCCTGATTTCTAAGGTCCGTAATAACTAGAAAACAGTGCAGAATAGAGAGGCATCGTATAAAGACCTTTAACTTTAACAAGTACACTCTAAACAAGGAAAAGGCAAACCAAAACATAACAGGAATTTGAATTAAGAAGGAAAGCTGTGCCCCCACATCTACTTCATTTTCCATCTAAAATCCCATGACCTGTTAAATCCAAAAAAAGTTCTGGGAACAAAATATTCCATCAATGAGCCAGGTATATTGAGGAATCACTGAACAGAAAATAGAAAAGATTTACGGGCTGGTGTATAGCCAAACGGACAAGGCTAAATAGCAAATTAACAAAAAGGAAAAGTGGATGTAGACATTCCAACATCTGAATGACAAGTGTTACAGAAGCAACAGAAAGAATGGTGGTGAGGTTTGGGAGTTAAAAAAGGACAATATCCCAGATGTGAAGAAAAACACGTTTTCAGATTAAAAGGGCCCAGTGACTCCCTAGAATAACTAATGAAAAAAGACCCCATCCTAGACAAGCCCAGGAGAAAGGGAATCAAGAGGGCTTTTTTCAAGTTTGTTTATTTTGAGAGAGAATGTTTGGGAGGGGCTGAGAGAGAGAAAGAGAGAGAGAGAATCCCAAGCAGGCTCTGCACCATCAATACAGAGCCCCATTTGGGGCTTGAACTCACAAACCATGGGATCATTACCCAAGTCAAAACCAACAGTTAGATGCTTAACAGACTGAGCCACCCAGGCACCCAAGAGATTTCATATAGAGAAAGAGGTTATAAAGCAATGGACATTAGATGCCTATTGGATTTCTCAGTGGAGCAGTATCTTCAAAGGCGAAACAAATCCTTTACCCAGCTAAACTAGCATTAAGTGCAGGAAAAGTAATTTTCAGACATGTAAGATTCAGAAAGCTTACTTCCCTAAGTAACTTGAGAATGACTCCTGCAAAAGGAAGCATGAATTGAAAAAACATCATCTCAGATTCTCATCCCCAATGATCTAACAGCTACCACACATTGAGCACTTACAAGGTGCTCTTTCACCTAATTTCTTCCCAGTTACTCTGAAGTACAATTATGATCCCCACGTTAAAGTGAAGAAACGGATATACAGACATGAACAAAGATACAACAAAGAGTGATACAAGAAAAACATAAAACTTATGACTGGATCTAGAAAGGTAAGAAAAAAGAGATTTTCAGAAAGCTATTCTGGAGCTAAAGCCCAGATCAGTAACTGCAAACCAAGTGTCAGGGGCTGCTTGAATTACTTCAGTAAGGAGACCCATTGAAGAGTAGCTACAATTGGAGTCCTCACGTGCTTGGGTTTACGGTAACGCAAGGTCATTCTCCAAGACCCAGAAGTCTTTTGTGGCGACTCACCTGGGAAGTGAATGGGAATGAGGTGGGAGCAATCACACCCCGCATCTTCCACGCCTCTGATGGTGACACGAACCTCTGCAATTTTCCAGATATGCTTTCGGTGTATTATTGTGGCACTCTGCTTGGCATTTTCTACCAGAATAGCCCTTACTCAATGAGTGAATGCACCAATGCAGGAATTCTGTCACTGAGATTCCTATTCCAGATTTTCACTTGGCAAGCAAGGTTCATAACCACAAGATGAACTCGCAGTCCCACTAGCCCTATCCAAAGGTGACGATGGGCCAGAATTCATTTATCACCTAACCCCTCTATGCTCAGAATGTGAATGGCAAACAGTGACTTTTTGGGTCCCAGAAATTAGGGTTAGCTTATTCGTGATGGTCACTGGAAAATGTAGATACTTCCTTTTCTTCAGAGCAGTTATCTGAAAAGGGATGAAGGTTTGCAGTGCTCACATACAGCAGCATCCTTTTCCAAGAATAGTCGGGCTACATCCCAGAGACTCTGGGTCTGGGATCTGATTTAGTTTGAGGAACCGGGTGACAAGCCAGGTCTCTCACTCATGAGATGCCTCTGTTCCCTAGACCCACAATTGTGTTTTGTTGGTTTGTTTGCTTTTGCTGTTTACACAAATCAGAAGGACTCAGCTGTTTTTCGAGTTCATTCCTTGGGATCCTACCATTAATTAATGACAACCAGAGAGTTCTGTGAGTTAGACCAATGTGTGTTTCCGCCCTGCCGCCTATTACGATGATCAGTTAATTCTGGTAATTAACTGTCTCTGGCTGGCCTCCTCCCATCCCTGCTGGCATCTGGGAGTGTATTTCAGTTGCAGCTGCTCCTACCAGCAGCTCTGCCTTAGAAAACAGCCAGGAAAGAGTTTTTGTGTTTTGCTGAAGCTCCTGAAGCTTTAATATATGCCTCATGACAAGAATGAGAGGGTCTTTAGATAAACAGAAGAGGGAGTGGGTGAGTTCAAGCTCATAACAGAACTAATACAACGTTCCTGCCTCCCAGCGCCAGCGTGTTTTTAACGTTATGCCTAATTTGGGACCATTTGATGGTATTGTTCAATTTTACTTCCCACAACGATTACTCCAACCTTAGCCATCCCTCCTACACTTTTTACCCACTCCTGCCTCACGACTGGAAAATGACTTTGCTTGGACTCCCAGAGAAAATGGAGGCTCTCATGCATGAACCTCCGCAGCTTCCAATCCAGAAACCACTCAACCAGCCCCACTCCCAGCTTCCCTCCGGGTCTCAGCAGGTGTGGGGCCATGTGTCATATCCATCCATCCTACTCTTGAGCCTTTCCCCCCAACTCTTCTAGGACCATGACCTTTGGCTATTATTAAAGTCCCGTATATTCAACATCTCTTTACAACTCCTTTCCTAGAACATAAAATTATGCTCTAATCCTTTTAAACTTACACAACACAGACACACACAGGGAGTGGGAGATGTAAAAATACACTTTTGAACTATGCACCTTGGTAGTCATTCCAGTGTAGCCAAATCCTTGAATAAACAGTCCATGCTCATTTTTTCCTCACTTTTTCATCCACCATTCGCTACTCAATCTAAAGCAAGGAGCCTGCTACTCTGGAGAGCTTTCTTAAACTGCTTTTACCAAAATCACCAAGGACAAATCTTGTAACTGACAAATCTTAAGGGCTTTTCAATTTTTCATCTTAGATGATCTCTGATGTTTACTTTTGGTGTCCCCTCCTTTTCTAAAAATCTCTCTTTGATGGGTTTCTATGCTGCTGCACCAGGCCTGGCTCCTAGCTTTCTACTCTATTTCCTATTTCTGATATGAAATGCCCACGTACCCCAGGGTCTATCCTTGGCCCTTCTCAGTTTTACTCTTTTTCCTCCTCTTGAGTGACCTTTATCTCTCATAGTTTCAGCTTTGGGGGCTGCCTTCCAAAAAGCAAGTTCATTTAAGCAACAAATACCTTTTTAGCTCATATTACTTTCCAGGCAGTGTTCCAGAAGATGAGACTAAAACAGCAAAATAAAGTGCCAGTTCTCCTGGACCTTAACAAGGATAAGCAAAAGGCAGATAAATACGTAATGTCAAGTAATGATCATTGCGTAAGGGAGTGAGAAGAGGCTGCTTTAAATGGGGTATTTAGAAAACTATGTTTGGTTTGGCCCCTATGACAGTGGGTCACTACGTGTGGTTCCGGAGCAACGGCGTCACCTGAAAACTGGTTAGCAAGGCCAGTTCTCGGGCTTCACCCCAGACCTGCTGAATCAGAAGCGGTGTTGGGGTGGAGGGTCCAGCAATGTGGCTTGATAAGCCCTCCAGGTGATTCGATGCACGCAAAGTGAGAACCACCACCCGAGAGCAGGTTCCCACCGCACCTCAGGTGTCCGTTCTAATCCTGATTTTCTCAGCCCACTGGGGCAGCTTCAGGGTGGGGGGAAGGCAGGTGCCGGGAGCCCTCCAGCCCAAAGTAGCCCAAAAACCCAGGCTTTTCAGGTGCAAGCAAGTGGGGTCGGCTGCAGTGTCCACAGGCCGCCACGTAGAAACGTAAGGACCGCTCAACACTCACCGGTAGGCTCAGGAAGCTAGGCGCTGAAGGATCTACTTCCGCCTCAGGCCACTCTTGCGGCTGCGCGGATGAAGTTCCCAGCCCGAAAGCAGAGAGTCTGCGCAGCGCGATGCTAGGCCCTCGAGGGGGGAGGGGGGAGGTTCGGGCAGCTTCCGCTCTAGCTGCGCTTTGAGCGCTCTTCGTCATGCTGCTGGTCCGTAAGGGTTCATCTGATTCTGAAGTAGGCCTATAGAAAAAGGTTGATTGGATTTGAAATCCATTTGCATCATCCCAAGAACTGTCAAAGTTGCATTTGTTGATGAAAAGATACTCGACTCTCCAGCTGTTACCGAAATTTTCAAGTGGTTGTAAAAATAGTTTTAAAAACTTATTTTTTTTCAATGTTCATTTATTTTGAGAGAGAATCCCAAGCAGGCTCCGCACTGTCGGTGCAGAACCCAACAGAGGGCTCAATTCCACTAACCGTGAGATCATGACGTGGGCCAAAATCAAGAGTTAGGGGCTTCACTGAGCCACTCAGACATCCCAGTTTTAAACTCTTTTTTAGCGGTGCCTGGGTGGTTCAGTTGGTTAAGCAGCCGACTTCGGCTCAGGTCACGATCTCATGGTTTGTGGGTTCAAGTCCCGCGTTGGGCTCTGTGCTGACAGCTCAGAGCCTGGAGCCTGCTTGGGATTCTATCTCCCTCTCTCTCTGCCCCTCCCCTGCTCCTACGCTGTCTCTCCGTCTCTCTCAAAAATAAACATTAAAAAATAAAAATAAAAACTCTTTTAATCACTTCACAGTGTATATCAAATCACATTGTAGACCTTAAATATAATTTTTGTCAATTATAACTCACTAAAGCTGGAAAATACATAACTTTTAAAATTGTGTGAACACATTTTGCATCAATGATAGCAAAACTTTTTAAAGCTTATTAAAAAGATTTGATTAGCAATTTTATGTAACAATTTCAAACAGTTTATATTTGTGGGAACAAGCTCACGATTCTTTATTTTTCCTCATTTAAAGTGAAGTTTGATTTTTTAATAAGGTCTAACTGACATATAACGTGGTTTTGGGTGTACAACATAATGATATGATACTTGTATATATTGCAAATGAGCACCACAAGAGTTAACATCCATCCCCATACACAGTTTAGAACAATTTTTTTCTAGTAATGAGAACTTGTAAGATCTACTCTCTTATGAAATACAGTGCTATTAACTACAGTCACAAGGCTGTACTACATATCTCCATTATTTATTTATTTTATGACTGGAAGCTTGTAACTTTTTACTCCCTTCACAAGGTTCAAGATTGTATTTTAAAATTGAAAATATTTTGGGGCGCCTGGGTGGCTCACTCAGTTAAGTGTCCGACTTTGGCTCAGGTCATGATCTCACAGTTTGTGGGTTCAAGCCCTGCACTGGACTCTCTGCTGACAGCTCAGAGCCCGGGAGCCTGCTTCAGGTTCTGTTCCTCTCTTTCTGTTCCTCCCCCGCTCACACTCTGTCTCTCTCTCTCTCTCTCTCAAAAGTAAATAAAGATTAAAAAAATTTTTTTAGTTGAAAATATTTTATCAGGGTACACCTGGGTGGCTAAATCATTTAAGCATCTGACTCTTGATTTTGGCTTAGGTCATGGTCTCACAGTTTGTGAGTTCAAGCCCCACGTTGGGCTCTGTGCTAACAGTGCAGAGCCTGCTTGGAATTCTCTCTCCCTCTCTCTCTCTCTCTGCTTCTCTACCGCTCATGCTTTCACTCTTTGTGAAAAAATATTACTATACAAATCTTCTGATATTGAATCCCTAATACTTTTCATTTTCTTTTTACCATGATTATATATCAAAGATATAATTTTATCACCAAGCTCTTTATAGATACCCTCAAATCCTTTTGTTTGACCCAGTATGCTATTCAAATTCTCTATGTTTGCCACAAGGGGCAAAGATTGGAAGCACTGCTCTAGGATCTCAAGATCTATCTCTCTCCCTCTCCCTCTCTTTCTCTCTTTCTTCCTCCCCATCCATCCCCTCCATAACCCAACACTGAAACAGGTAACATACAAAATAGCATCCTCAGGGTCACACAAGTCACCAGAAATGGGAAATGAATCATCTGCAATGGGAATAAGTTCCGAATTGAAGTATAATGGAGCCAAAGCTGCTCATGATCACTTTTCCACGTGCTCTGTTCTCTTTCAGTGGTTCTCTGTCTTCGCTCCCACTTGGGAACCTGGACTACCTCCTGCTTTGGGATGGAAGATTATCTACAATGAAGGAAAAGCCTTGGGGTGCCTAAGTGGCTCAGTTGGTTAAGTGTCCGCCTCCTGGTTTCCACTCAGGTCGTGATCTTGGGGTTTGTGGGATCAGGCCTGTCATCAGGCTCTGCACTAACAGCACAGAGCCTGCTTGGGGTTCTCTCTCTCCTTATCTCTCTGCCCCTCCCCCCATTCCCTCTCTCAAAATAAATAAATAAACATTAAAAAAAAAAAAAAAAAGGAACAGCCTTACCCCAGGCTACCCTTCCATCACAACACTTTATTACACCTGTTTACACATCTCTTTCTCCCTGTTAGACTAGAAGTTCCTCAAGGGCATGCACCATGTCTTACCTTTACATCCTCAGAGGTGAGCAGTGCCAAACACACAGTAGGTGCTCACTAAATATCTGTGAAGTGGATAAGTGAGAGAAGAGCCAAGTCAGTCTTATCTCCCCACTGGGCCTGCCAAGCTGACAACTGCCTCTCCAGGCAAAGAAGGTGGGAACACAGATGTTCCAAGTCAGTACAGTTAGGGGAAGCGGGTCTGCCAGAGCTGCCTCCCGTTGTGACCAACCGCCCAGCCTGTAAAGGTCGAAATATCCACCTTTCTCAAGTCTTCTATCTCCTCACTGCCTTCCTCACTGAGAAAGTCAAATTTAAGTCCCTATAGTCTCCTCCAGCTCTAGAACGATAAGATCTGCAATTTTATCTAGTGACAATGAAGTCCAGAGTTTCTTTTTTTTTTTTTTTTTAATGTTTTATTTCTAGGAGAGAGAGAGAGAGAGAGAGACAGTGTGAGCAGGAGAGGGTCAGAGAGAGAAGGAGTCACAGACTCTGAAACAGGCTCCAGGCTCCGAGCCGGCAGTCAGCACAGAGCCCGACGCGGGGCTCGAACCCACGAACCGCGAGATCATGACCTAAGCGAAAGTCGGACGCTTAACCGACTAAGCCACCCAGGCGCCCCAATGAAGTCCAGAGTTTCTATTAAATAATTCCTATAAATCAATATTCATTCCATTTATCCAAATGGATATAAAATTTCAAAACATTAAACAGGAATAATTATAATAATTTAGGAAGCCTTGAACTCATCCATGACCTTTGATCTTGGAAACAAACTCAAAAGTCAACAACTGTAATTGGTCCTCCCTTCCTAGTAAACCCTCACAGATGCCAGTCTCATAACAAATCCGAACAAGGAGTAAAGTGTAAAGAGTACAAAAATGTGCACATATACTTTCAACAAAGGGCTGACCAATACTTTCAATTAAAAAGGAATCTAGAAGGAAAACAGCAACATCCTTGTTGTACAGCCAGCCTGAGCTGCCTCAGCACTCCCCAACGCCCCGCCCCCACCTTTCAGAGATGCAGGCTGACCTTTCTACCAAGCAATGTGATGCTCTTTCTCAGCTATTGTCATTGCCATCCATAATCCCGACAGCCTTGTGTCAGAAGCAGGTGCTTTTAATACTGTTATATGTGGATATAGAAAATGAAGTACAGATTATGTAACTTCTCCATGGTCCCCACAGCAAAGGAGATTGAAAACAGGCACCCAACATGGGCTCCAATGCCCAGTAGGGCCTTTTCTCATCAATTTTTCTCCTGCAAGAAATCCTTCTATCTTGTTGGCAGACAGGGTGCAATTTTGAGATTATCATTTGGTCAGATAGCCAGTCAACTCCTGGAGTAAAAAACTGAGGGTCAAGTTTATTTTAAGATCTATAGCTGGGACCCCAGATCCAATTAATTCATAACAGAATCAAAGGCTGAGAAGAAGAATAAATACTACAATCAGTTTCAGGCTTTTCTTAACAGGGAAATCTCTACAGGATGATAAACGATGTTTAATAGCAACTATTAATTTGAGTGTATATTAGGTAATCATGATACTCTTCCCTCTATGGACCGAATGAAACTTCAGAATTTTTCTCAGTGTCCTGCGCTAGGCAGGAACTATTAATTGAGGCAGGCACTCAAAAGAAACATTTGCCTCCCTACATAACCCGTGCAAGAATCAGGGTTAGAGAGTAAAAACCAAATCTGTTTATTAATCTTTTAATTATTTTAATCCCAGTGACCTAACTTAGAGTATATGGGAGAAAGACTGGAGTGGTTTTTCCAGAATCATGTGAGTTCCTTCGTGTCTGCATTCTTTCATAAGGTTTTTGACAGGAAAATCTGTGTGAGCTCAATAAATATTGAAAAATAAAAATAAATGAAAATTATTTCTGCCATCATGATCTGTGGTATTGGAGCAGAATCATCAATCTTGAGTTTGAAGTGTTGCCCATTCAGTAAGCAAGGAATGATTAATAGAGAATAAAAGAGAAATAAATCTATTCAATGTTTCAAGTTCCCCAGAAGTGAGTGGGGCAGTTCCCTCTGTTTGCTGCTGGATAGAGCATGGCCAAGGAACCTGAAAAAGTTGAGTCCTGTCTTCACCAAGGAAGCATGGGAAAAGAGCCTAGCAATGGACAAGAGCATCCCTAAAAGACAAAAAAATCAGATCCCTTCCCTTCCAGGATTCTCCAAGAAGCATTACATCAACAGGCTTTAGCATTATAAACACAATAAGTGAAGAAAAATAAATATATTAGAGTGTGTGTGAGAGAGACAGACAGACACAGAGAGGCAGAACGGGGCGGGGGGAGGGGAGAAAGGGGTCTAAAAGAGTTTTTCTAATCCCTCCACCTTTTGAAATGTGAATCCTCCCAAAAGTAGTCCGACAACACTAATACCACTTTTAAGGCACTTGCAGAAAGAGTAGGGCCAGGCTACAATTTATTAATTTATAATTTATTAATGAGGGGCAGCGGGGAAAGGCGCCCTCGGGAAGCTTCCGGGGATAAGGGGGCGCTTGGGGAGAAGTTTCTAATTTTACTTTAGGGTTACCTTAATTCGACGGGCTGCCTATATTCCGTCCCTGCCGCACCAAGCTGCACGCGGGCTTCGCACAAACGCCTCGTGGCCAAGGTCGCGGCCGAGGGCTGAGCGGGCGTGCCTCGGGGAGCCGCGGTCCCGCCCCCCTGCAAGCACAGCCCCCGCCCCGCGCGCCGCCCCGCGCCCGCCCGCGGTCAATAGGGCCCCGGGTCCCGCCCGCGGGCCACTCCGCAGGGACGCGCTCCCGGGCCGGCTGCGGAAGATGGAGAGGAGGGCTCGGAGCGCCTCCAGAGAGGCCCACGGGAGAGGCGGCGGGTCCCCCCACAGGGAGAACAGGAAGGCGAAGACGGAGAGGGGTGGCGGAGGCCGTGGGCGCCGGGACGCGGGGCGGGAGCGGGCGGGGAGCCGCGGGGAGCCCCCAGCGCCCGCAGCCACGGTGGTGGACGTGGATGAGGTCCGGGGCTCCGGTGAGGAGGGCACCGAGGTGGTGGCGCTGCTGGAGAGCGAGCGGCCCGAGGAAGGTACGGCAGGATGGGATATGGGGGTGGGGGGCGGGGGGGGGGTCTCTCCAGGTGGTACCAAGGGATGTCAGATCAAGTGGAACAAGTCACAGCGCCCGCCGAGAGCCACTGAGGCCAGAGTTAGGTTAGGACTCACTGACCTTCCGCCGAGTGGTGGGGACCAAAATACATCAGAAGAAATACAAACAACATCAACTAAATACGGTTGGAAGCGGAAGGGAGTGTCGTCTAGGTTGAGGACCAGTGAACATGGCAGAGGAATCGTGCAGCCGGTTTTTGTGGCCAACGAGTACATAGGCTCCTAATTTAAGTGAAGACATTCTTGAATTGGTGGTTTTATGCGACTATGTAGCTTACTATTCTCTGCTCATCCCCACCCCTCAGTCTTACCTAAAAGTATTTTAAACGTCCTTTGGGATGATCATTTGGCCGCAGAGCCAAGGAGAGAAGTGTCAGACCTGAATTCAAACTCAACTAACTAGACATGTTATCAAAGGCGGGGCCTTACCCCACTGAGCACCGAGGATAACAATACTTAACCTCCCAGGGAAGAGCTGAGAGTGCTAGGAGATAAGCCATCCAAAGCACTTGGCACCAAGCTTGGAGCAGAGGATATGCCAAATTTGCACAGATTCTTTGCAAGCTAAGACAGGAAAGTTAGGCCAAAGGAGGGAATCATAGGGAAATACATAGTTTTGGCTTCTGCCAAAAGTGGGTGAAGCCACTCTTAGAAACAAATATATCTGCTTCTAATCCTTTTCATAATGAACGAAAAAGATTCATGACACCTTCAGCGTAGAATGACAGGGGTCTAAAGGAAAGTAAATAAGGAATAGTATGCTGTATTGCTTTCTGCTGGCAATGAAATTTTAACATAATTTCCTGGTTACCAGCAAAACAGTATATGCTGGAACATTGGAAGCTGTGATTTGGGGCATCTGGGTGGCTCAGCCAGTTGAACGTCTGACTTCGGCTCGGCTCAGCTCATGATCTCACAGTTCTTGAGTTCTAGCCCCGCATCAGGCTCTGCGCTGTCAGCTCAGAGCCTGCAACCCACTTCAGATTCTGTGTCTCCTCCTCTCTCTAACCCTGCCCTGCTTCTGCTCTGTCTCTCTCTGTCTCTCAAAAATGAACATTAAAAAAATTTTTTTAAACATTAAAAAAAAAAAGAAAGCTATGGTTTAAGAAAGATTCTTGCAGCTGGGGTGCGGTTTATACAGACCATGTTAATGCTGTTTTGCCCAACTGAGCCCTTTCATCAGTCAGAAACTTCTGGTCATTAAAGGTTTGTTGGGTTCAATGCCACGGTATCATTGAGGTTAGAGATAAATATTATGCCTCAGACCACAATGGTGGGAGAGGCAAGGAAGAAAGCTCCCCCTCCACCTCCATATGGAACTTTTACTATGTGCCAGGCACACACTGGGTATTTTACTAAGTATTATCATTCCCACATCACTGATGAGGGAGCATGTTGAGAAATTAAGTAACTTGCCAGAAACCTACAGCTGGGAAATAGAGGAGCCAGAATTCCAGAGTATGGTGGTCCGACTGAAAAGCCCATCCTGGCATGCTTTCTTGTCATGGTCACGACCTTGCCACCAACCGGCCCTGTGGCCTCAGGCAAGTAACATCACCTTTGTGGGCTTCACTCAGTTGCTATTAAGTGACTAGAACCCAAGACCTCAAGAAGCAGAGGAGAAGTCTCATTGAGGCTGAGCTGGCCTTGCTGAGCCCCTGTCTGAGATCTCTGTGGCTTCTAGGGGCCCAGGGAGCAGAGAAACAACATTCCCTTCTCCTCCACTCGTACCACACTCCCACGGCCGGCCTCCTGAAGGCCTGAGTAGAGTTTCACCTTACCAAAGTGTTGGAGATTCTTAGATTATGTCATACCTAAGGCTCTTCCTGCCGTAACATTTAATATTTCACTGTTCACTTAAACCGAACAAATTGAATATTCAAGGAACTTGTTCCAAGAGAACAGTATTTTGTGAGTAAAGCTATAAGTTAGATTTGGGGTATAACTATTAGTTTTCTGCTCACATCCCTCACTACCATAGGAAGGCATTTTGAGGCTCTTCTTCCCTTCCAAAATGGTATTTGGTCTGTATGTACATGTATTTCTTTTTACTTGCCATGGTTACCACTGGCAGGTGAAATGTATTTATAAACTAATTAAACATGGCAATAACACCCCTACTGCCCCTAAGAAAGAATATTGTAAAAACTAACATGGCATTGATAGAGTAGCATTTCCCAAAATAGATGGCGTAAGAAATAATTTTTATAGAACATGAATTTCCTTGAAGAAAATTTGCCTGGTCAAATGTTTGAGAAAGCCTAGAAGAAACAAGGCCAAGGATGATGCTTTACTGCAGGGAATTTCTCGGTGTGCAGATGAACACTGGGATATACAGTGTTTCCTAAACTTGTTTACCCAGGGTCCCCTTGCTTTGTGGAGCACCCTGTGGGATTAGTATTCCATGGGACACACTTTGGGAACTATATACTATAGCATTTAGCGCCGATGTTAGTTTTGTGCTAGTACGGCTTTTGTATCTGCTTTCTTCAAGTGATCCATTTGGTGATGACCTTTCCAATTATTTTACTGGCATGGAAATCAAATATTCAAGCCTACCACTTAGTTTTCCTCTTTTTTCCATCCCTCAAATATAGGCTTTTCACCATCCCTAACGATTAGTCACCTTCTAGTCCTCTATGAGGCCTTTAAACTCATAAATCATATCCCTTCGGCCCATTTCCCAGCACCTTGGAGATTAAACTTCTTGAGATTTCCACAACTACTACATTTAAATAATTTTCACTATCCACTTCTCCTTCGTTCTTATGATTCAACAAATATTTGTTGAGCACCTGTGTTGTGTCGGACACTATGTTGTATGTAGGCCCCAGGGACACAACGTAAGCCAAGGCCCCAAGAAGCTTATGTTCTTGCGATTAACTTTCCCTCAGATGTTTCCATTTATCACCCAAGCGACCCAGAGGTTCTGCAGTCCAGTGCATCATTGCTTTCGTGAGGACTGTTTGGAGATCCACATCCTGACCCAAAAAGGACTTCAGTGGAAGAATTCCAGACATCTGGGGCAGGTGGTGGATGGGGAAGTAAGCTCAGGGAAGACGGACCTCTGCACACATGTGGCCTGAGTCACCTTGGATTCAACACCCGGTACATGAGCAGCACACCAGTAAATTTTATGCATATGTGCCATTTCACACTTACATCAGTACTATGAAAAATATCTCATGAGAGCGCTGCTATGAGATATTATGAGAGTTATATTATGAGATTTTATGAGATAGCTACTATATCTATATAATAGATATAGCATAGTTAACAGCCCCATTGTATAGGTGGGGAAACAGGTTCAGAGAGATCATGTGCCCTGCCTAAGATCATTTGACAGAAAATGGTAGAGCCAGAACTCAAACCCAGACCTTCTGCCCCGATTCTGTGCTTATTCCAGGTTCCTCGCCTTTCCAGGAATCTTCTCCACTTTCCACAGGCCTGCACAGCCCTTCACAGACAAGCCCTATCATGTGAACTGACCACTGATATCCAGCTCACTCTAAATTTCTAGCAAAGTCTACGCATTGCTCTGACCCTAGTACCAAGGACTGACCAACAAGTGCTAGTCAGTGAGAATGGTAAAGTTCTAATATAATTATTCTTTGACCTTTTTTTTTTTTTTTCCAGGTATCAAGTCTTCAGGTTTAGGGGCCTGTGAGTGGCTTCTTGTCCTCACATCCCTGCTCGTCATCATTGTGACCTTCCCCTTTTCTATCTGGTTCTGCGTAAAGGTGAGATTCCATGAGGACCCCAGAAGTAATTTCCTGGTGCCTGTCACTGACCACATGTCCACACTTCTGTGGCTTGGTATGTGCCATCTGCTCTGCACAGAATGGCCTTACGCCCACTTACCTGCCAGGAGAGCTCCTGTTCTTCTCAGGCCTTGCCCAGAGCCTTCGTGGACTCGCCCGGACTGTCCTTTCCTCCCCTGTGCTTTCGCGTCTCGCTGCTTTCACATCCATTCCAGTGCTCAGCACGTATATAATATTTGTTGGCCCCTAGTCTCTCCCATTAGACTGATGGCCCTCAGGTCAGGGGCTATGTCTAGGTCACCGGCCCTCTGCAGCCCAAAGGTCAGCCCAGAATAGGTAACGATGTCCACTTCTGACACTTTCAGGAAACTTCTCAGGCAACTCCTGTACCATGAATGATGATTCTCTTTGGCCCATATGCCTGTCCTTGAAGTAAATGAAGACTGAAGACCTTGTCTATTCAGGAAGCACGTGCCAAGACAGGAATATAAGTGCAAGGGGTTTACTGGGAGGCATTTTCTATGAAAGATTAAGGGGAGAGAAGAAGAGCAGGCAGGGGCGCCTGGGTGGCTCAGTCGGTTAAGCGCCCGACTTTGGCTCAGGCCATGATCTCACGGTTTGTAGGTTCGAGCCCCGCGTCGGGCTCTGTGCTGACAGCTCAGAGCCTGGAGCCTGCTTCAGATTCTGTATCTCCCTCTCTCTGACCCTCCTGTGCTCATGCTGTCTCTCTCTCAGAAATAAATAAAACATTAAAAATAATTGCTTAAAAAGAGAATAAGAGCAGGCAGAGAAAGCCTTCAGACAATGATGCAGTTCTGTGCTATGAGAAGTAGAGGAAGGGTTGGACAGGAAAAGCCTCAGACTGTGGTACAACCCCAGGGCAGTGCTGGTCAGCCTGAAAGGGAACTCCAGAGCAACATTTGCTTCATCAAAGAAGAAGTTCGTGATGGGCAGAAATAGCCAGGCCCTAATGCCCCTGCCATTGTTACCAGTGTCTCGAGGTCCCAGGGACGAGCATGTCCTTGGCTGGAATGCTGCAGGTGCTGCTGGGCCACTGCTGACTGCACTCCTCATGCAAGCCCTTCTCTTCCCCGCCCCCCTTTCTTCAGGAAAGGGTCTTGAATTTTGTTCAGTGCCTTTTCTGCATCCAGTGAGGTGATCACGTGGTACTTGCCCTTTATTCCATTGATATGGTGTATTATAGTCACTGAATTTTGGATGTGATATCAACTGTGTATTCCTAACATAAATCCCGCTTGGTTATAGTGTCAAATGCTTCTCACCTGTTTCTGGGTTCAGGCTTCTGATAGTTTGTTGAGGATTTTACATCTGTGTTCATAGGAGATATTGCTCTGCAGTTTTCTCTTCCTGTGATGTCTCACTCTTTGTTTTGGATCAGAGCAGTGCTGGCCTCAGAGAATGAGTTGGACAGATTTTCCTCCTCTTCTGTCTTTGGGGAGAACCTGTGAAGAATGGTATTTTACTTCCTTGTTAAATGTATGGCACAGTTCACCAGTGAAGCCTCTGGTCCTGCACTTTTCTCTGTGAGAAATTTTAAAACTACGGATGCAGTCGTTTACTCCTAGGTCTTTTCAGGTTTCTTTTTTTTTTTCTTTTTTCAAGTCAGTTTTGGTCATCGTGTCTATATAGGAATTTGTCCATTTCACCTCAGTTATCTAATTTGGGGCATATAGTTGTTCATAGTATTTTCTTTTGTAATCTTTTTTTTTTTTTTTCCTGTAGGGACAGTAGTGATGTTCCTCCTGTCATTCCTTTTTCATTCCTGATTATGAAAATTTGAGTCTTCTTTTTTTTCTTGGTCAGGTTGGCTAAATATTTGTCAATTTTGTTGATCTTTCCAAAGAACCAAACTTTTGGTTTAGTTGGTTTTCTGTATTGTTTTTCTAACTTCTGTTGTATTTATTTCCACTCTAATATTCATTATTTTCTTCTTTCTGCTTGCTTTAGTTTTAGTTTGCTCTTCTATTTCCAAAGGTAGACAATTAGGGTCTTGTTTTGAGATGTTTCTTCTTTTTCATTAAAGTCTTCTACAGCTACAAAATTTCCTCTTGGCGCTGCTTTAGTTACATCCCGTATGTTTTAGTATCTTGTGTTTTTGTTTTCACTCAGTCAAAATATTTTCTAATTTCTCTTTTGAGTTCTTTTGTTCAGCTTCTATATAGTTTTGAATTCCCCAAATTTTCTTGTTGATTTATAGTTTCATTCCTTTGTAATCAGATAATATACTTTGCGTAATTTCAATAGTTTAAATTTATCGAGGTTTGTTTTATGGCAGCATTTTGTCTATCCTAGAGATGTTTCATGTATTCTTGGGAAGAAAGCGTACTTTGCTATAGTAGGGTGGAGTTGTGTGTCCGCACCTGTTAGGTCTGATTTGTGTATCGTGTTGTTCAAGTCCTGTTTCCTTGTTTATCTTCTGTCTAGTTGTTCTATCCATGACTGAAAATGGAATATTAACAAGGTGCCTTGGTGGCTCATTAGGTTAAGTGTCTGACTTCGATTACGGTCATTATCTCATGGTTTGTGAGTTTAAGCCCCACATTGGGGCTCGCACTGACAGTGCAGAGCCTGCTTGGGATTCTCTCTCTCTCTACCCCCTTCCATGCCCTTCCCCCAGTTGTTCTCTCTCAAAATAAAGAAATAAACTTTTTTAAAAAGTGGAATATTAAAGTCTCCAACTATTAAAGTTGTTTGAATTGTCTATTTCTGTCTTTAGCTCTCTTGGTTTTTGCATCTTGTATTTTAGATCTCTGTTTTTAGGTACATGTATGTTTATCATTGCTATACTCTCCTAATGCATTGACCCTTGTATTGTTATACAGTGCCCCTCTTTATCACCTATAACATTTGTGTGTGTGTGTGTGTTTTAATATTTTTATTTATTTCTAGGAGAGAGAGTGACAGCGTGAGCAGGGAAGGGTCAGAGAGAGAGGGAGACACAGACTCTGAAACAGGCTCCAGGCTCTGAGCTGGCAGTCAGCACAGAGCCCGACGCAGGGCTCGAACCCACGAACCGCAAGATCATGACCTAAGCGAAAGTTGGACGCTTAACCGACTAAGACACCCAGGCGCCCCATGTGTGTTGTTTTAAATTTCATTTTGTTTAGTATCACTATAGCCACTTGTGCTTTCTTTTGGTTACTGTTTGTGTGGTATGTCTTTTCTATCCTTTTACTTTCCATCTAAGTGTAACGTTTAATCCAAAGTGTGTCTTCTATAGACAGCAGATAGTGGGTAGCAGGCTCTTTTGAAGGGGGATCTGAGCACCTATATGGCTGCCATAAAGTCCAGCAGTAACTCAGCCATGGACTGTGGCGAATGCTCTCAGGTCTGGTGACTTCCGACGGTAAACCCTAAAAGCCAATTAGGAAGAGCATACCGAAGCAGAATGAGGTATTACGTTTGAGCAGGGTCTTGAAGGAGTCAGACTCCTCTTCATCTCTAGAAAGAATTTTTTTCTTGCTATAAAAGCAGAAAGGAAACAAGTAATGCTAGGGAGCCGAAATATTGTGGGTGACTGGGGCCTGCTCTGGGAACCAAACTTGACATTCATTCTCATTCATTGTTTCAACAAGCAAGGCAGTGTTCAGGCATAGGAGCTATAAAACTCAGAAGCATCAAGAAGACATGGTTCTTGCCCTCAAGGGACGTATCGTGGGGCAGTGGAGCCTGTTACCATAAGAAGCACATTTCAAAACGTGTTACTTTTGGTCTCTTCATTCCATTTTAATAATTGACTATTTTATTTTGAGAGAGACAGAGATAGTGTGAGTGGGGAAGGAACAGAGAGAGAGTGAGAGAGAATCCCATGGAGGCTCTGTGCTGCCAGCACAAAGCCTGACATGGGGCTCAAACTCATGAACACTGAGATCATGACCTGAGCTGAAACCAAAAGTTGGATACTTAACCAACTGAGCCACCCAGGTGCTCCTCAGTAGAGCTTTCTAAAAGTGGAAGGAAAGGGGCGCCTGGGTGGCTCAGTCAGTTAAGCATCTGACTTCAGCTCAGGTCATGATGTCACAGTCTGTGGGTTCGAGCCCCGTGTTGGGCTCTGTGCTGACAGCTCAGAGCCTGGAGCCTGCTTCAGTTTCTGTGTCTCCTTCTCTCTCTGCCCTTTCCCCACTTGCTCTCTGTCTCTCTCTCTCAAAATATAATAAAGACGTAAAAAAAATTTAAAGTAGAAGGAGAATGAGGAAGGGAAACAGACATGGCTCAGTCACAAATAATCGTTTGTTCATTCAACAGTTCAAAGGTGGGTATATATGCGAAACAACAGACCATGTAAGCTAGTGATAAGCAAGCATTAGAACCCAGATCCTGATACTGGGACAGAAAATGAAGTTTATTTTTGAGGTAGGGTGCATTAACTTTCCTGTCTCTTTTCTAATACACAGACATTTCTATACAGAGAATCTCCCTTTTTGTCATTTAAAAATAACTACACATTTTCAGGGCACACTCAATTTTTCTAGGTACATCACCAATGAGAATAGACGAAATCCAATTGAATGATTTTGAAGCCAACCTCAGAAGAAATTGCAGTTTGAAACAAAATGTCACACGTGGTATTAAAATATACCCTCTCTTTCTATTAAATAGCCCATGCATGATCCATATAAAAGCTAATAATGCAGAAGCCACAGGAAAATACAAGATTAAACATGCTGTGATTTTCTTGACTTAGGCATGTTGGGCATAGTAGAAGCATTATTTCTTTTTCTTTAGATAATCATGATTCTTTAAACAAAATTCTGTTCATGGGTCCAAAAAACTAACATGTTTCTGAAATTCTACACTTGCCAAGTGTAGATTGTGGAAATGTAAATATTAATAGAAATTTCTTCTTGGTTCTCAAAACTAGTTTTCTGATATCTAGAATCATTCTCTTGCCTTTTGAAGACTTCATTTTTCTTTCTTGGTATGTTTCAAAACTATTATTTTTCCCTTTAGGTTGTACAGGAGTATGAAAGAGTAATAATATTCCGACTGGGACATCTACTTCCTGGAAGAGCCAAAGGCCCTGGTACGAAACACATTTGTATCCTCCGTAGCCTCGCCAGTTTCTTCAATCCTGCATTCTTGTCATGTGGACCTCAGATTATATGAAATAACTCCATCTATGATATTTGCATTTTCTAATCTGTTTTTTTTTTAAGTTTCTTTATTTTGAGAGAGAGGGATAGAGCAGGGAAGGGGCAGTGGGGGGGGGGAGAGAGAGAGAGAGGGAGAGAGAGAGAGAGAGAGAGAGAGAATCCCAAGCAGGCTCTGTGCCATCAGCACAGAGCCCAGTGTGGGGCTCGAACTCCAGAACCGTGAGATCATGACCTGAGCCAAAACTAGGAGTTGGGCATTTAACCGACTGAGCCATCCAGGCACCCCTCTTTTATTTGTAGCACAGGTCATGAAAGATTACTCAGATAGCATTACTGCCAGGTCACAATGACCAAGAGAGAGGATGGGTGCAGAAAGTCAAACGCCAGGGCCAGGCTGGCTGAAGTGGCAAGTAGGCTTAGGGCCCACGGCTGGGCACTGGTTTGAGCAAAACATGTATTTGGTTAGAGTGCTATGAATTCTCAGAGCAAAGCTGAGCTAGTTCAGAATCCAGGGGTCACACCGAGCCATGGGAGATAGGTGAAGTCCAGCATCCAAGTGGAAAACTGGCCTTTGGTTTGTGGAACTTAGAAAACATAGACTGGACACCTCCTGTGTTGTAGATACTGTGTAACCACCAGGGAGATGAAGATGGATAAATGAGACATGGTTTTTGACCTCTAGGACCTTACAGTTTAGTGGAGTTGATATCCAGAGGTCCAAGCTGATGAAGGTGCCCTGATATAAGTGTGATCAGTCTATAAAGTCTAGTCGTTGGGGTTTAGAGACTCAAGCCAGCCAGGAAGTCATAGGAAGGAACAAAGTCCCTCTGTGCATATATTAGAAAGGGTCCAATTGCCAAGCCAGGAACACAGAAACAGCAGAGAACAGAGACTAGACTAGGGGACACAAATCAGAGTTTGATGATTCAGGACAAGTACATGGGTCCACATACAAGTAGAAGCAGACCCTGTGGTCTAGACAGTGACCATCTTGTTCTGGTTCTCATTGGCATCCTTCTTTATGGGGGCTAGAAAGTACCAGTAGCTGGGCTGCTCCCAGAGGGGTCCTGGGCTCTGTGAGGTGCTGCGGGCTCCAGTAAGGCCTTGGCTTTTGCAAGGGTCCACACTGCCCTGGCTCTCAGGAAATCTTGACAAATCAATCTAAAAACATTTATTGCATATTAACCCTGTACATTACATTAAGTGCATAAAAATAATGAGCCAACCCAAGGGCTGGTATCATGATACTGCTATTTTGTGCTACCTCTGGGGCTCACATTTTAAGAAGTACTACAGGGAGGTTGCTGACTCTACAGTGTGTCATGTTGGTATGTGCACGGATTCAAAAATAATTTTACAGAGCACCTAAAAAGCACTAAGTCAGGCACTAAAGCTAGCAATAGTGCATAAGACATTCTTCTTAGGGAGTTCAAATCTAGTGAAGAGGACAGACATGTTAGTCAAGATCTGGATGGGTCAGCACCATAACCAAGGTGACCCTACAGCCCATTTTGCTGGGGCTAATCCTCGTTAATGCCAGTTGTCCAGGAGTGCATTGTAATAATACTCTCCTTTCATCCTCAAAAGTGTCCTAGATTGAACAACAACAAAAAATGATATGGTAACCTTAGCAACCACAAACACATTATAAAGGCAGAGGTGGGATTGCCGGATGGTCTGTGTGTAGTTGGAGGCTGAGAGAAGCAATGCAATATGCAACCTGACACCGAGGTGAACCCCAGTCTCCCTACCAACTATTCACCTGTCAATTTCCACCCCCCACCCCACCCCCAGGTCTTTTCTTCTTTCTGCCCTGCCTGGATACCTACCACAAGGTTGACCTTCGTCTCCAAACCCTGGAGATACCCTTCCATGAGGTAAGCCAAATGATGCATTTTACTTTCTCTCTGCATTTCATATAACTGAGGTACCAGTTCTGATCCAAGGCAAAATAACTATTTAAGCTCAAAAGTAGAAAAGGAAAGGAGAGCTATGGACTATATCAAATTAAGAACTTCTGTGTATCAAAGGACACAAAGGATCAAAAGAATGAACAGGTAACCTACAGAATGGAAGAAAATATTTGCGAGTAATATACCTGATAAGGGGTTAATATTCAGAATATATAAAGAAATCTTGTAACTCAATAAGAAAGCAAACAACTCAATTAAAAATGGACAGAGGACTTTGTGCTGGTTAATTTTGTGTCAGCTTAGCTAAGCTATGGCACCCAGATACTTGGTCAAACACATCTGAGTGTGGTTGTGAAGGTATTTTTTAGATAAGGCTAATATTTAAATCAGTAGACTTTGAGTAGATTGCCTTCCATAACGTAGGTGGGCCTCATCCAATGAGTTGAAGGCTGTAAAACTAACCTCCCACTGGGAGGAGAGAATTACGCCAGCAGACAGCTCTCAGCCTTACGCTTCAACATCAGCTCTTACTTGGGTCTTCAGCCTATTGGCCTGCTCTGGAGATTTTGGACTTTGTCAGCCTCTACAAGTGTGTAAGCCAATTACTGTTTCTCTCTCTTCTCTGTCTCTGTCTCTCTGTCTGTCTCTCTGTCTCTCTGTTTCTCTCTCTCTCTGTCTGTCTGTCTCTCTCTCTCTCTCACACACACACGCACACACACACACACACACACACACACACACACACCCTAATGATTTAATGATTCTGTTTCTCTGGAGAGCCCTAACTAATACAGACTTGACCAGATATTTCTCCAAAGAAGATACACAAATGGCCGACAAACACATGAACAGATGCTCAATGCCACTAATCATTAGAGAAAGGCAAATCAAAAACACAATGAGATACCACCTCACACCTGTTGGGATGGCTATTATAAAAACAAACAACACAGCAACAAAATAACAAGGGTTGGCAAACATGTAGAGAAATTGTCTTGTGCACTGTTTGTGGGAATGTAAAATGGTGCAGCTGCTATAGAAAACAGTACAACTCCTCAAAAAATCAAAAATAGAATTACATTTGATCCAGCAATTCCACTTCCGGGCATATAGCCCAAAGAAATGAAAGCAAGGTGTTGAAGACATGCCTGCATACCTACGTTCATGGCAGCAATATTCATAATAGCCAAAGATGAAAATAATTCCAGTGTCCATCAATGACTGAATGGACAAACAAAATGTGGTACATACAATGGAATACTCTCTGGCCTTAAAAAGGAAGGAAATTCTGATATATGCTACATTCTGGATGAGCCTTGAGAACATTGTGCTAAGTGAATGAAGCCATCATAAAAAGACAAATAGTCTTATGATTACATTTATATGAGGTACCTAGAGTAGTCAGATTCATAGAGACAGAAGGTAGAATGGTGGTTGCAGAGGTGGGGGCGGGGAAGGAATAGGGAGTTGTTTAATGGATTTCACTTCTGCAAGATGAAGAGAGTTCTGGAGACTGGTTGTACCACACTGTGACTTATATAATGTACAACTACTGAATTGTATGCTTAGATATGGTTAAAAGAGAGGGGACACCTGGGTGGCTCAGTCAGTTGGGCATTTGACTCTTGATTTCAGCTCAGATCATGACCCTGGGGTCATGGGATTGAACCCTGCATTGGGCTCCATGCTGGGTATGGAGCCTGCTTGAGATTCCCTCCCTCTCCCTCACTTTCTGTCTCTCTGTGTCTGTCTGTCTCTATCTCTCCCTTTGCTCCTCTCCACAGCTGATGCTCTTTCTCCCTAAAAAAAAAAAAGTTAAAATTATAAATTAGATGTTATGTATATTTTGCCACAATTAAAAACTAAAAGTAAATATACAGATTTTTGTATTAGAAATTTAGATTTATGAACCTTTCCTAAATTGTCTCCCACTTTACATTTGAAGTTCTTTGTCATTCTGTCTTTTGGTAAGTAGAAACTACATATATTTTTAAGAGGCTTATTTTGGATAATTAAAGGTAAAAAAACTTACCCCTAATCCTATATATGTCATATATATTTATATTTATATCCTATATATGTATAAATCCTTTTTTAAAAATGTTTATCCATTTATTTTGAGAGAGAGAGAGAAAGAGAATGCACAAGCAAAAGAGGGGCAGAGAGAAAGAGAGAGGGAGAGAATCCCAAGCAGGCTCTGCACTGTCAGCACAGAGCCCAATGCAGGGCTGGATCCCATGAACCCAGTCATGACCTGAGCTGAAATCAAGAGTTGGACGCTTAACCAACTGAGCCACTCAGGCGCCCCATCCTATATCTCTATAGACAGATATTGTTATTTTGGAGTAGATCCTTTCAGATTTATCTATGGGTGCAGTTATATTTACAGACAGTTATACATGCCATACTGCTTAATAGCATGCCTTTGTCAATCAACACTCTGTTGTGATCATGGTTGTGTATATTAGCTATGTTTCTACCCCTTTTGTGTTAAATGGACATACAGCTTATGGATGCACCACAATTCCCATTTCCCTATTGTGACTATTTATTTCTATTTTTTTATTATAATAAACAACACTGTGAATGACTTCTTTGCAGTTAAATCCTTAAAATATGTCCTTGTGATAAGTGTCTAAAAATGGAAATGTTGACGGCACAAAAACAGACACATAGACCAATGGAATAGAATAGAGAACTCAGGATTAGACCCACAAATGTATGGTCAACTAATCTTTGACAGAGTGGGCAAGGGTATCCAATGGAAAAAAGACAGCCTCTTTAACAGATGGTGCTGGGAGAACTGGACAGCAACATGCAAAAGAATGAAACTAGACCACTTTCTTACACCATACACAAAACTAAACTCAAAATGAATGAAGGACCTGAATGTGAACAGGAAACCATCAAAACCCTAGAGGAGAAAGCAGGAAACAATCTCGACCTCAACCACAGCGATTTCTTACTTGACACATCTCCAAAGGCAAGTGAGTCAAGAGCAAACATGAACTATTGGGACCTCATCAAGATTAAAAGCTTCTGCAAGGCAAAGGAAACAATCCATAAAACTAATAGGCAACTGAGGGAATGGGAAAAGATAGTTGCAAATGACATGTGAGATAAAGGGCTAGTATCCAAAATCTATAAGGAACTCACCAAACTCCACACCTGAAAAACAAACAATCCAGTGAAGAAATGGGCGGAAGACATGGACACTTCTCCAAAGAGGACATCCAGATGGCCAAAAGACACATAAAATGATGCTCAGCATCACTCATCATCAGGGAAATACAAATCAAAACCACACTGAGATACCATCGCATGAACAAAACAGGAGGCTATAGATGCTGGCCAGGATGTGGAGAAATGGGCACCTTCCTACACTGTTGGTGGGAATGTAAACTGGTACAGCCTCTCTGGGAAACCGTGTGGAGGTTCCTCAAAAAATTAACAATAGACTCCCCTATGACCCAGCAATAGCACTGCTAGGAATTTACCCAAGGGATACAGGAGTGATATAGGGGCACATGTACCCCAATGTTCATAGCAGCACTCTCAACAATAGCCGAATCATGGAAAGAGCCTAAGTGTCCATCAACTGACAAATGGATCAATAAGATGTGGTTTATCTATACGATGGAATACTACATGGCAATGAGAAAGAATGAAATCTGGCCATTTGTAGCAACGTGGGTGGAACTCAAGGGTGTTATGCTAAGTGAAATAAGTCAGGCAGAGGACAGATACCATATGTTTGCACGTATAGGAGGATTAGGAGGAACTTAACAGAAGACCATGGGGGAAAAGAAGGGGAAAATAGTTGGGGAGAGGGAGGAAGGCAAACCATGAGAGACTCTTGAATGCTGAGAACAAACTGAGGGCTGATGGGGATGGGGGAGAGGGGAGGGGGGAGATGGGCATGGAGGAGGGCAGTTGTTGGGATGAGCACTGGGTGTTATATGGAAACCAACTTGACAATAAGCTATTTAAGAAAAAAATAAATAAAAATGGAAATGTTGAGAACACTCAGCTTTTAGGGCTCTTGATGTGCAGCACCAGCCTGCCCCCTAGCGTTCGCACTCCCAGCGCACAACTCATCAGAGCGCTTGTTTCCCAGACTCCAGCATCAGGCTTTTTTTGGCATCAGGTTAAAAAGGTCAGATATACAATTAAGAAAAGTCTGATATACAATTAACTGAATAGTTTCGTCTAAGAAAAGTATTCCTGATATTTTTACAAAGCTATTTACAACAGGATTCCTTTAAATTCTTTTAAATTTATTGTATTCAATAAAAACTCCGTAATCTTCAACAACACATCTATTTTGAATAAAAAGTGGGCCAATGACTTTTTTTTTCTTGCGATAATTTTATTGAGAAAATTTCCTTTGAACACATTTAGCTTCGCTCTCCCCACCTGGGAAAGGACCCCTAACGTAAGGCCTGTTATCCAAACTCTTTTTTCAGGTTGTGACCAAAGACATGTTTATAATGGAGATAGATGCCGTCTGCTACTACCGAATGGAAAACGCCTCTCTGCTCCTGAGCAGTCTTGCTCACGTGTCCAAAGCGGTCCAGTTTCTTGTGCAAACCACAATGAAGCGTCTCCTAGCACATCGATCCCTCACTGAGATTCTTCTAGAGAGGAAGAGCATTGCCCAAGATATAAAGGTACTTAGATAAATTTAAGATCAAATATGTTGAAATATCCCTTGTATTCATTTCTTCATTGGCCATTTATCGAAGCAAGTGCCAGACCTTTGCTGCTGAAGGCTCCGTCCTTTAAGGAGCTTACTGCTAACTGGGGCGCCTGGGTGGCTTAGTCGGTTGGGCGTCCGACTTTCGCTTAGGTCATGATCTCGCAGTTTGTGGGTTCGAGCCCCACGTCGGGCTCTGTGCTGACTGCCAGCTCAGAGCCTGGAGCCTGTTTCGGAGTCTGTGTCTCCCTCTCTCTCTGACCCTCCCCTGCTCACGCTGTCTCTCTCTCTCTCCTAGAAATAAATGAAAATATTTAAAAAAAAAAAAAAAGGAGCTTACTGCTAACTAAGAGGCTGCCAAACTGACCTGAGTCGATCTGGTGATGACTAGTCAGTCATTGCCATAGGTTCTGCTCTTAACCTTGCCCCACGGGCTGTGGCCTCTCTGTGAAGTGCCCACACAGCACAGAGTGTGGAGCGAGTGCCACAGGGGTGGTGGGGCAAACCAGGATGGGGCAGTGGTTATCCAGAGATGGTCAGGAACGAATCCTGGAGCTGACGGGCGAGTTGGGAAAACAGCAAAGTTCAGTAGTAAGTTCAAATACGACTTTCAGAGAAAAGAGGTGAGATGTCACAGACCCTTAGTGATTAATCTCCCAGTCAGTCATTTGGATTTAATTGATTGGGAATTGATAGGGAAGGGGTGGGGGAGCAAGAGCCACCTCAGGAGCAGCCCCGTCCAGCCCGCAGGCAGCACGCTCTGCACCCTCGCCCTCGGCCAGGCTGGGCATCTTCCGTTCTCACCCCGACGAGTTGGCAAAGGCATGAGAGTGAAAACAAAGCAGGATTCTGGGCAGCTGGCCAGCGACATGGCGGTGACCACCAGTGAGGGACCCTGTCGTTGAGGCCACGAGCCCCCAGCACAGAAGTGTTAGGAGGGTATGAATGTTGTCTAGCCGAATGGAGGACATCCAACAGCAGAGCCTAAGGGCCAAAGGCATTGGTAATGACTGTGCCTGAGGGCGCCTGAGCCATCACTAATCTTAGAAGGGGAAGTACCCACATGTCTGTCACTTGTCCAACTTGTTACTTATAAAACTGAGATTAGCATCTTGGTGGAAAAGGGAAAATTGCAGAAAACAAGAGAACCTAAAAAGAAAAAAAGTTAGAATAAGAGGAATACAGGTAGTTGCTGCTCTGGAATTCAAAAACCACTCTAGCATGGGGCGCCTGGGGGGCTCAGTCAGTTAAGCGTCCACTCCTGATTTGGGCTCAGGTCATGGTCTCATAGTTCATAGTATCGAGTCCTCCGTCGGGCTCTACACTGATGTTGTAGGGCCTGCTCGGGACTCTCTCCCCCTCTCTCTGCTCCTCATCTGCACACTGATGTTGTAGGCCTGCTTGGAACTCTCTCCCCACCTCTCTCTGCCCTTCATCTATGATCACTCGCGCTCTCTCTCAAAAATAAACATTCAAAAAAATAAATAAAATAAAACCACTCCAATGTGCTCCCCCTAATCCCCCTCAGACTTTCTTCCTGTTCATCCCTCCCCTGTCCCCAGGGTCCAGACTCTGGACACACAAGCTTGCCTTTGTTACACTGAAATTTTACGTATTCACACATTTGTCTCCCCGGATTATAGACTCCATAATGGCAGGGGTCATATTGTAGTCTTCTCTTTGTTCTCAGCACCTGTCACGGGGCTTGTCTCACAGCAGTCAGATAGTGTGTTTTGGATGAGCGAATGAATGACCCCACTGTTACGGCCTCGTCCCTTGCCATCCCTCCCCCCACCCCGCCCCTGCAGCTAACCGTCCGTGCCCTCAGTGCTTGTCCCACATGCAGCACTTGATACTTGCACGTCTCCTCTTGGGTGGCTTCCCTTCTCCCCGCGGGCAAAACCCTCCCTGTCCTTTAAGATGCCACCTCCTCTTTCAACATCCCTTCCTCTCATCACCCCACCCCTGCCCCAAATTAGCCGGCCTTCTCAGGGCTCTCTGTACACTAAGCTAGTGACTGTGTCACTAGCCACTGAGAAATCATCAGAAATCATTAAAAAGGAAAAGAGTGTGGGGCCCACACACGGAGCTCCATCCCCGCCCCTCCTTTCCAGAGCCCATAGCTCACCCTCTCCTGCCCTCTCGGTCTGGGAAGTGGGGGAACTGGCTGCCACGTGCAGGAAGGAGGCACCTGTAAATGAAGTCCATTTGGGAGGCACCGGACTCATGTTCTCTTATTAATAGATGCATCTTAAAACAGATTTAACAAGCACACCATCTGTATCGGTTTCCCGTGGCTTCTCTAATAAACTGCCACAAATCCAGGGAGTTAAAATGATGCCAATCTAGTCTATTACACCTCTGAAGGCCAGAAGTGCCAAATCGGTTTCACTGGGGCTAAATTCAAGGTGTCAGCAGGGCCACTTCTTTCTGGAAGTTCTTAGAGGAGAATTCATTTCCTTGCCATTTCCAGCCTCTCTCAGTGCCCTCCCCCCACCCACCTTCCCCAGCCTGCCGCCCCTTCCTCCATCGTCACAGCCCATCCTTCCAACCTCTGCCCCCAGATTCACGTCACCTTCTCCTCTCCTGTAGTCACACCTCCCTCTGCTTTCCTCTTAACAGGACACTTATGACTACATTTGGGGTCCCCTGGGAAGATCCAAGATACTCCCCCCATTGTAAGATCCTCTAAACCAATCCCATCTGTAAGGTCTCTTCTGGGGTCACATTCACAGGCTCCGGGGATTAGGACATGGATGTCTTTGGAAGCCACTATTCAGCCTACCGCACCGTCTTTGATTCCACAAATATTTGTTGGGTGGCACCGTGCGAAGTTAAGCAACTTTTTGCAAGGCACTGTAATGTGAAAACAGAAGTCCTCTCAGAGGAAATGTACTTTGGCAGTCAGAACGCGGGGCATGAGGGTGTGGGGGAGCTCCCCTCCCACCTGGACGCTCCCACTGACATCTCAACTCTTCCCTCCACAGGTGGCCTTGGATTCAGTGACCTGTATTTGGGGAATCAAAGTGGAGAGAACAGAAATGTGGGTAGGAAATTAACCAAGAAAGACAACATGATAAAAGGAAATGTTTTGGTTTATTTTAAAATAATTTCAAAAATTATTCTCAGTGAGTTGAGTATTATAGCCACATTAGCATAAATTTGGAAAAAAGAAAAAATTACCCAGTACTTATAGCCATAACAGAATCACTGTAACATTTAGGCAAATTACTTTCATGGATTTAAAAAATTTTTGAGATAAAATTCACATAACATAAAAACTGACCATTATAATCATTTTATTTTTAAAAAACTTTTTAATGTTTATTTATTTTTGAGAGAGAGAAACAGAGTGTGAGCAGGAGAAAAGCAGAGAGAGAGGGAGATACAGAAACCAAAGCAGGCAGCAGGCTCTGAGCTGTCAGCACAGAGACCTACGTGGGGCTCGAACCCACGAACCGTGAGATCACGACCTAAGCCAAAGTCAGAGGCTTAACTGACTGAGCCACCCAGGCACCCCCCATTATAACCATTTTAAAGTACAACTAAGTGTTTTTATTATATTCATAGAGTGGTGTAACCATCTCTACTAATTCCAGAATATTTTCATCACCCCAAAAAGAAAGCCCACACCAATTAGGCAGGAATCCTCATTACTCACCCCCTCAGCTCAACAGCACCAATCCCCTGTCTGGATTTGGCTTTCCTGGACATGTTCTACGAATGCAGTCACATATTGTACGGCCTTTTTTGTTTGACTTCTTTCACTTAGTGTATTGTTTCTAAGGTTCCTCCATGGTGAAGCATGTATCAGTGCTTCATTCCTTTTTACGGTCAGACAACACTCCACTGTGTGACTACACCACATCTGGCCTATCCACTCATTCAATGATGGACATTTGGGTTGTTTCCTCTTTAGGACTATTATGAATAACACTGCAATGACCACTCATGGGCAAGTTTTTGTGTAAACATGTTTACAGATACAACCAGGAGTAGAATTACTGGACCACATGGTCACTCTGTGTTTAACTTTCCATGGAACTTTCGAATGGTTTCCTATGTCGTTTTCATAGTTACAAACAGGGTAATAAATATAATTTTTCTTTTATGTAATACATTATGCATTACTCTTGTCTAGTCAGTTCTACTCTTTTCAAAATCAGTTCCTGTATAAACTTAGATGATGACTTCCCGTGTTCTTGATAGTATGGCTCTTCAAGGCTTTTTTTCTTTTAAGGTTATGTGCTTTTTATTTCTTTTTTATTTGAAAGAGAGTAGGTGACTGGAGGAGGGGCAGAGAGAGGAGAGAGAATCCCAAGCAGGCTCCATTCTGTTGGCACAGAGCTGTACGCAGGGCTTAGTCTCACAAAGCGTAAGACCATGACCTGAGCTGAATCAAGAGTCAGATGCTTAACCGACTGAGCCACCCAGGTGCCCCGAGACTGCTTTTCGTTATTCAAATTTAATAGCTGGGCTTTAGCTTAAACTGTAAGTGGGAAAGATCAGAACAATCCATCAACAAAAAAATGTGTTCTAGTTGTAGAGAAAAAACCCATAGCTCGACTGTAACATCAGTGACCACAGAAGTCTGCACGTGAGGCACTGACTTTTGAGATCCCCTCCCCTGGCCACCGTGTACCTCACAGGGACCGCACACCCCGTTAAGCAGCCAGAACTTGCTGTGCAGGTGGTGAGCCTGTGGGAGACCATGGCGCCGAAAGCGGTGCCGCGTTCCCGCCTGACCACCCTCCCTCTTTTCCAGTAAGGACGTAAGGCTGCCCGCCGGGCTGCAGCACTCGCTGGCTGTGGAAGCCGAAGCGCAGAGACAGGCCAGAGCGCGGGTGAGCCCGGGTGTGGGTGGGCCAGAGCATGGGGGAGCCAGCAGGCAGGTGGGCCAGCGGGGCCAGAGCGCGGCGGGCCGGAACACCAGTGGCCCAGCGCTGGCGGGCCAGCCCCTCCCCGAGGCCGCTCAACACGCCTGCTCCTGCAGAACAGGTCCCCTTTGCTTCCTCAGGCCCCAGGCACCCCGGAGCTGGGAGGAGTCTGGCTTGTGCCCCAGCCCCCACTCTATTAAAAATCTTCTCTTCGAACGTGTCCGTAGCCCCCTGACTAGCGCAGCATCGCTTTTTCTCTTACGCCCTCTCTCTGAAGCTGCTGGTAACAGTGGCCGCCTCCTCCTTCTGGAGTCTTGGCCTTCCCTCTCCCTAAAGACGCCTCCCCACCTTTCATCCCTCTTCTCTAGTGCTGATATCTTCCCCTAGGGAGTACCAGTCACCCGCACCTCTATGCTAATGACCCCAGACCGCGATCCCTAGCTGTGTGCGAGCTGTGGAGGGACGACCGTGCTGAGGGCCCAGTTCCCACCGCGCCAGAGCCCCGGGAAGGCTGTGCTGCTCGCAGCCTCCACGTGCCAGTGAGCAGCACAGATGTGGCTGCCGGCGGCTCCTGAGGACCGAGGTGGGGGTGGGGGATGGGTGTCAGGGAAGGAGGGACAGATTCCTCTTAAAGAACAGAAAGCAGGTGGAGGAAAAGCCTACCACAGAAGAGGTCAGTAACCCTGGGGCGTGGAGAGGAGGGGTCGGGGGAAGGGGAAGGAAGTGGTCTTCTGGGCAGAGTACCTTCTCGATCTCTGGGTCCAGCCCTCTTTGTCCACTTGACGGTGACATTTGGGTGGTCAACTAGGGTGCTTTTGCCCTAGTTAGAAGTCCCGCTTTTGGGCTTCCATGACTTTGCCTAGAATACCAGCCAACTTTTTCTCAATATGGCAAAATCCTACTCACCTTTCAAGGCCCAGCAGACATAATTAATAACTCCCCTAACACTTGTCTACGCTTGCCAGGGCCCTTCACAAATTCCGCCCTGAATTACACTGAGAGCGTAATCTGTCTCCCCTGGACCAAGATCCTTGAGAAAGAGGGCAGTCCGCTCTTTGCTCCCCAGTGCCTGTCACCCAGTAGGTGCTCCGTGCTTGTTTGCTGAGTAACCCCGAGTAGTGAGGCTGTGAGTCAAGCCTCGGAGGAACGAAGAGGGAAGGTCACTTTGCTCCTCTGGCATCTGTTCTCCAGGTGATCGCTGCGGAAGCGGAGAAGGCGGCCTCCGAGTCCCTGAGAAGCGCGGCTGAGATCCTAGCAGGCGCTCCGGCTGCTGCTCAGCTGCGGTACCTCCACACGCTCCAGGCCTTGTCCACGGACAAACCTTCCACGGTGGTTTTGCCTCTGCCATTTGACTTGCTAAATTTCCTGTCTTCTCCCGGCAATAGAGCTCAAGGAAGCCTCCCCTTACCAAATCCTTCCAGACCTGTTGAGCCACCAAATCCTAAAAAGAAAGACTCTCCCATGTTATAGGAAGAGCCAAGGGTAATGTGACAGGAAGGGGCATGACATCTAACAGCCACACCCCTGAGTGAGGCACTCTGTCCTCACCTCCTGCCCTTTCTTTGGCGGCCATATGGAGTGCCCTTGGAACGCACACAGTCACATCCGGGAGTCTGCATGAGAAGACAATGAGACGATGTAATGACAGAGAAGCCATATAACAGGTGTAGGTGGATCATTTAATCAGAGTGATTATGGGAAAGAGCTTTAGCCAACATTCTACTTTGGAATGAACTTTGAGTCTATATAGGGCTAAATTTTGACTTCTAAAGATGCAGGTCAAATGTCTTTTTTGCTGTCTGCCCACTGGCCCCTTTGGGAAGGTTGCTGCTCCCATAGTCCTACCTGCCCCTATTGTTGTGTTCGTCACACTTTACGGTAATCTTGAACTTACGATGCAGGCTTCTCTCCAACTGTACTATGGACTCCTGTGAACTGCTCAAAGGCACGTCTTGGTCATTTTCCTGCAGACCACGCTCAGCCTTGTATGTTCTACCCTATTTCTTCACATCTGACCTTGAGAGTTGTACCACAGTGACACTTAAATGTTCCTGAGTGAAAGAAAATAAAATATATTTGAGCTGGATATAAAGTTTACACCCAATAAAGAATTTTAAAGGAATTCTTTTTATGGAGACTCCTTTTAAAAAAAAAAAAAAAAAAAAGAGTTTACTTGGGGAGAGATGTGTAGAGAGAAGGAGAGAGAGAATACCAAATAGGCTCCACACTGTCAGTGCAGAGCCCAACGTAGGGCTCAATCTCATGAACCATGAGATCATGACCTGAGCTGAAACCAAGAGTCAGATGCTTACCTGACTGAGCCACTGAGGCACCCCTGGAGACCTCTTTAAAATAGAGAAATAGGGGCGCCTGGGTGGCTCAGTCAGTCAAACATCCAACTTCGGCTCAGGTCATGATCTCATGGTTCGTGGGTTTGAGCCCCGTGTCGAGCTCTGTGCTGACAACTAGCTCAGAGCCTGGAGCTTGCTTCAGATTCTGTGTCTCCCTCTCTCTATGACCCTCCCCTGCTCATGCTCACTCTCTCTCTCTCTCTCTCTCCCCCCCTTTCTCTCTCTCTCCCCCTCTCTCATAAATAAATAAAACACTAAAAAAAATTTTTTTAATAAAATAAATAGGGGCGTTGGTGTGGCTTAATCGGTTAAGTATCTGACTTTGGCTTAGATCATGATCTTACGGTTCATGAGTTTGAGCCCTGCGTCAGGCAACATTGGGCTCTGTGCTGACAGCTCAGAGCCTGGAGCCTGCTTTGGATTCTGTGTCTCCTTCTCTCTCTGCCCCTCCTCTACTCACACTCTGTCTCTCTTTGTCAAAAAAGAATAAATGTTAAAAAAATTTTAAGAAAAATTTAAAAATAAAGTAGAAAAATAAAAGGACAAAAACAACTACCTGATACATATTGCTTCAAATCTGAGGAAGCAGCACTGTAAACATAGGCCTGATGTATTCTCAGTATAGAATTTACCAGCCTGCTCATTTCTCAAACAGTAATGACACGTGATCTTTACATGCCCTGAAGTATTCTCTCCTAGTACATATGATCTTAAATATGAATATATTCTTGTAAGTCTTACTGTCCATTAACTCGTCTGACACAATTAGAAATAGGTATCTACTGGGGCGCCTGGGTGGCTTAGTCGGTTAAGCGTCCGACTTTCGCTTAGGTCACGATCTCGCGGATCGTGAGTTCAAGCCCCGCGTCGGGCTATGTGCTGACTGCCAGCTCAGAGCCTGGAGCCTGTTTCAGAGTCTGCGTCTCCCTCTCTCTCTGACCCTCCCCTGCTCACGCTGTCTCTCTCTCTCTCCTAGAAATAAATAAAAATATTAAAAAAAAAAAAAGAAATAGGTATCTACTTGTGGTATATGTATACAATGGCGTATTACTCAGCAATCAAAAAGAATGAAATCTTGTCATTTGCAACTATGTGAATGGAACCAGAGGGTATTATGCTAAGCAAAATTAGTCAGAGAAAGACAAATATATGACTTCACTCATATGAGGACGTTAAGATACAAAACATGAACATAAGAGAAGGGAAGCAAAAATAATATAAAAAAAGGGAAGGGGACAAAAACATAAGAGACAAATATAGAGAACAAACAGAGGGTTACTGGAGAGGTTGTAAGAGAGGGATGGGCTAAATGGGTGAAGGGCATTAAGGAATCTACTCCTGAAATCATTGTTGCACTATATGCTACCTAAATTTTAAAATAAATTATTAAAAATGAAAAATAAGAAAAAAATAGGTATCTACAGAAAAGAATTAGCCAAGTAAATAAGAAAGCGTGTGATGTATATATAGCAAACCCTCTATAGACTTCAAAAGTAATATTATAAAATCTTAGCAACACTACAAAAATATTACTAAAATCATGTATGTTAGTAAAATGCTACTTAAAATGGGAATTTCCATGTTGCTAGTACAGAAAGAAATGGTAACTATTTGGTGACTGCTCGGTCCTTCAGACTGCCTCTTTCCTCTTCATGTTAATCCAAGGTTATTACTTTACCTCGGAGATGTGTTCCAGCTATCCCTGAGAACTTTAAACATTTTACTAAGCACAGTTGTAAAGGGTTTTTGTTCATGAAGTTGGCCTATAAAACCCTACTGAGCATTATTTCACAGAGAAAACATATTGTGAATAAGATAGGAATGGACCTAGAAATATGAAAATATGAAACAGAAATGGACCTAGAAACTTTTATAGCATTTTGTCCACTGGGGACAGGCTGTTTCCCCACTATGTTTAAGTAACAGAAACAAGGCCCAGGATCGAGGATACTTTGCCTTTCCTGCTCTCTCAATCACTTCTACGTTTCTGGCGTATCCACCAATCCTCCTGTCCTCCAAAAACAAAAGACCAAAACCTCCCTAGCAGTACCTTATTATATAGTTGCAGTGATACTAACCCAGGATCATCTGTTATACTTCTCTAAGCCACCTCCTCACTTCCATCCACAGCTGGGAAAACCACACACTCTAGCCCAAGCCTGCATGCCCTAGGGCTTTCGCCAAGCAATGCATCTTTCCCAAAATTGGGCAAAACTGTGAGACTATTTCTTTTCATTTTTTATTTTATTTTTAGTTTATTTTGAGAGAGAGAGTGAGAAGGGGAGGGGCGGAGAGAGAGAATCCCAAGTAGGCTTCACACTACCAGCATGGCTCCTGACATGGTGCTTGAACTCATGCACCTGCACGATCATGATCTGAATCAAGATCAAGAGTTGCACCCTTAACCATCTGAGCCACCCAGAAACCCTAGAACTATTAGATTATTTCAAAACCTAGACACTCGGGGTGCCTCGGTGGCTCAGTTGGTTGAGCATCCCACTCTTAATTTTGGCTCAGGCTCAGGTCATGATCTCATGGTGGTGAGATTGAGCCCACGTTGGGCTCCATGTTCAGAGAGCTTAAGATTCTCTCCCTCTCCCTCTGCACCTCCTCAGCACATGTGCACACGTTTGCACTGTCTCTTTCTCAAAAAAAACCCCAAAACAACAAACCTACATATTCATATAACCATGCCCAATTCATTTATTATTTTAATAATCAGCTTATGTGATCACTCTATATGAGATGAAAACCTTGAGTTTTGTTTCAAAAGTCTATTTCATCCATTTTTTTTAATTTAAAAAATTTTTTAAGGTTCCTTTTTTTGTTTTTTTGTTTTTGTTGTTGTTCTTTTTTTCTTAAATATTAAGTTGGTTTCCATATAACACCCAGTGCTCATCCCAACAAGTGCCTTCCCCCATGCCCATCACCCCCCTTCCCCTCACCCCCACTCCCATCAGGCCTTCAGTTTGTTCTCAGCATTCAAGAGTCTCTCATGGTTTTCCTCCCTTCTTCTCCCCAACTATTTTTCCCCGTCTCCCACATGGTCCTACATTAACTTCCTCCTAATCCACCTATACGTGCAAACATATGGTATGTGTCCTTCTCTGCCTGACTTATTTCGCTCAGCATAACACCCTCAAGGTCCGTCCATGTTGCTACACATGGCCAGGTTTCATTCTTTCTCATTGCCATGTAGTATTTCATCCAATTCTAAAAAAATATTTCCACATCTTCTCAAAAGAAGTTTCTCTCTCTACTCCCAGAGACCATACCTGGCTGCGGGGAATGGCAGTACTGAAAGTCACAGATTGAGTAGTCTTGACTAGAGTCAATGGGAGATTCTAAAGCCAAAGGAACAGGCAAAACTTTAAACCGGCAGAAGTGCCAAGATACAAAATATGGAATCTGAGAGGCTGTCAAATCCAAGTAAGCCAAAAGCAGGTAATGAAATCTGTCAGGGCCAAAAGCATGGTGCGAGAGAGAGGAAAGCAAGCACTGAGGAGGCAGTAGACACGATGAGAGTTGAGGGAAGTTGCTGCATGATTTCCTAGAGCATTTAACCATTGAGGGTTTGCAGTTTGCTTCTGTGGACCAGCCAGGGCACGATAGGGTCATCGATAGTCCAGCCATTTAAAGAACCAATGGCAATCAGAGCATCTCTGAAGTGGGAAATATTTCTCATCACCACTGTGTTGGCCCGCACCCACCCTAACTACTGGTTATTGAAAATGAAATGGCATCAAGGGTCGTTGGTCACTTTTCACCACATATCCATGGCTCTTGATCTCAGGTTGGCAGACGTTGCAAAAATAACAAATGAGGAAGCAGGGTCCTGCTGATTCGAGTATAACCAGAGCCAGGAACAGAAGAACGAGGAAGGAGTGCCAGAGTAATAATGCAGTAGTGGCTTTTATGACCCGTAAGAATTCCCCGTAGCAAGGTGCCTCTTGGCAAAGGCAGATTGACCTACATGTCTGGGAGGGCCTGTGCTACCACCCACTGGTTAGTCTCCTCTGCTGTGTGGCTGTGGCCAACATTTAAATTTCTCATTAGCTTGCCAGAGGACACCTTCCAGGCCTGCTGGAGCAGCCTATGATTTATCTTCCACTATTAATTGGCTGTTGGGACAGGATGGGAGTGCTTGATGGGTGGGAAATACTGAGGCTAAGTTGCTATGAAACTGCTCTACGCGAAAGGGTCTAGTGAATGGTCAAGGGAAAGTTCTTCAGACGTTGGTGAGATAAGCTGACAGTGCCATCTGCAAGTCCCAGCTGCAGTCTTCTCCTGACATCCAGGTGATGCATTCCAGCTGGTTACTGACCTTGAAATGATGGGTGGAGAACAAGCTGGCCAATATGACCAAGATACGCACTAGGGAAGAGTTTTTCTCCAAAAATTTAATATTAATAGAGAGCAGCGTCTTAGTCAGTTCAGGTTGCTCTATAACAACAACCTTGCAAACAACAGAAATTTCTCCTTTGAGGCTGGGGGGGGTCCAAGATGAAGATGTCAGTAGATCTGGCATCTGGTAAAGGAGAAAATTCTTGGTTCACAGACAGCTGTCTTCCTGCTGTGTCCTCACGTGACATAAAAGGGGAGCTCTCTGTGGCCTTTTTTATAAGGGCACTAATCCCATTCATGAGGGGTCCACCGCCATGACCTAATCACCTGCCAAAGGCCCCACCTGCTAACACCATCGCATTGGAGGCCAGGATTTCAACATAGGAATTCTGGGGTGACACACACATCGAGTCTACTGTAGGCAGTAAGCTGACAGGTGGGGAGAAGATGATCCAGTCTGGAGCTGGAGTCCACCATGACTAAAACAATATGGCTGTGAGAATGGGACAAGTCTATGACAAATTCTGTGACGGTGCTATTCCAGGGCATTTGATGATTGGCAATGACTCTTCAGTCTGTCTAGACCTGCATTTAGTGTGCAAACGTGTGACTTAGTGGCTGATGAACTACAGATTGTCAGAAAGAGGTCATCTTTAAGGAGGCTTTGCAGGCTCCCCTTAAAAACTTCAAGGGCCCCCGTGGCTCACCAGCAGTAGCAGGAAGGGGCTGGAGGCCTGCAGTTTCGACTCCCCGGAATTTGGGAGGCCCACCAGGCCATTCTGCCTATGCCTCTGCATTCCCTTTCTTTGAGGGCCCTTTATGGATGGCTGAGTAAGTATAATTTCCCTTGTCAGATTGTTCCTGGAGGCAGCAGTGTTCTCTGGCAGAGTCTACTGGGTCTAGGAGGTTCTGGCATCCTCTAGAATTTGGTGTGTCAATGCATTTGCTCCGTGGTTGAGCTGAGCAACAAGTAGAGGATATGGAAATCACATCCTTTAAAAAGGGGGTCATTGGGGCACCTGGGTCCCTCAGCCAGTAAAGCGTCTGACTTAGGCTCTGGTCATGATCTCACGGTGCGTGGATTTGACCCCCACATCGGGCTCTGCGCTGACAGCTCGGAGCCTGGAGCCTGCTTTGGATTCTGTGTCTCCCTCTCTCTATCCCTCCCCAGCTTGTACTGTCTCTCTTTCTCTTTCTCTCTCTCTCAAGAATGAACATTTAAAAGAAAGAAATTTTTTTTAACAAGAGGAGTCATCAGTTGCACTTCCAGCCTCTTCCGACGCGGAGAGGCAGCAGAGCACGGTAACCGAGAGCCTGGGCTCTGCTGCAAGGCCTCCCAGGCTTGGCCACTCACTCCATCACTCACTAGATGTTTACCCTGAAACATGCCACTTGTCCTGACAGGAATGAGGATAAAAGTATGACCCACATCACAGAGTTGTTATGATTAAATGAGATAATGAATGAAGTGCTTGGCACTTCACAATGAAGTACTTGGCACAGTGCTGATGCCAAGTAAATCCTCAACAAATGGCTATTGCTGTTTTTCTGCTTTTACCCCAGTAGCTCTAAGTGGCAGTGACCAAGCTGTACACAAACCGAAGCCTGGCCCCCTACACAGGTTGCCCCTGATGGCCAGTAGCTCCTGCCCCCAGGGTGGTGGTTCTTGGACAGAACCAGCTTAAGAACTTAACGCAAGGGGTCTCTTGTGTCAGAATCCCACCTCAGGATTTCAAGCATTTGTTTTAAAGGTGTGCAGAGGCACTGAGATTGGGGGGTGGGGAGAACACAGAGGAGTGTGATGAGGCCCATCCAGCTTCCTCTCCTGGAGGGTCAGGCCAGCTCTCTGGAGGTGACGTCAGCACGCCTTTGTCTGGACGTCTGAGCAGAGTGGCCGGCCTCCGCTGGCGCCAGCAGAGCCTCCCCGGCAGCCCGGCCGCCAGACACGTGCAGCAAGGGCTGCCCCTAACCTTTCCCGGGGGGCCCAGCTCAGAGTCGCTCTGAGAAGGTGGGGCACCCACCCCACGTCCCTTATGCCTCAGGGTCGCTCTGAGAAGGCAGGGCAAGGTCTTGAGGACTATCGTAAACTTCCCACAAGTCAGCTCTTTGGAAAAGCGGAGCTGCCTGGGCTGCTGGGCAGCACCAGTATAGACGCCTTTCCTGTAGCGCACTTTTTTTTTTTTAACCCACCTCACATCCCTCAATGCCTTCCTACCACCAGCTCACTTTCTTCTGGGCGTTGCCTTTCCCCATACTGTGATCCGTTTTGGTGGAAGAGTAGAGCAAGGTGTCCTTCCTTCCCTTTCAGGCGGCTAGAGATCCCAGACGCCCTCTCGCTCCCACTGGTCCACCCATGAGGGCGTTTGTGCCCACAGGGTAGCCTTTCTCTCTCCCAGGACACTAGAACTTCAGCACAATCATTTATAGATGGAAGAAAAGATGGAAGTTTTTTTGGTGGTAGCAACTGGGGCACACGGTGAAGCAATTCTTGCTCCTGAAATCTACAACCGTCTGGTACCATCTGTTCCTGGCCTGGCTCTTTATGACTTCCCATCAACCCCCTGAGCTCCCCAACACACTTTCAATAAATTAGCCTTTTATGTTTGTTTGCAGGAGTGGGTTTCTGTGGCTCACAAGGAGACCACCCAACTAGGTCCGTGGAGCTAAACATCTCATGCTACGTGTGGCAGCAGCCGTGACTCTGGCCTTTAGAGATGGGCCTTCCGCCCGATGGAGCCGCTGTGCTCTGAGGGGCAAGGCTCTCGTGTTCAGGGATGGGGGCTGCTGATTTGTCTAGAAATGACTGCTCTTACTGCAAAGTGGGAAATTAATTAAACAGTATTCTGAAATCCCACCCAGAAGCCTCCAAATTTGCTAGAATCATCTAAGAATCTCTGGGAAAGCATAAGGGTAGGGCTGGCTCTGCGCCAGCAAATGAACTGTAAGTGGGAACTGAGAGCATCAGCTTTGGCTTTCAGCTGAGCTATAAGCACAGCCATCTCTCCGGAGTCCTGTTTTCTTCCCTCAGACTTAGAGGCATCCGGCAGGCTTCGGCAGAGCCTAAGCAGACCCTATTCCTGAAACTCATCCTACATACACTTTGATGGTGGCCAGACGCAGGCCCGACCAGCGACCGGGCTGACAAAGGCTGGCACTCTGAGTCACAGGGTTCCTGAGGCTTAAGGAACAGGCAAAGGTCTAAAATTCCAGGAGATGAATCCAAAGGAACACCCGACATGCAGAGGCAAAGCAGGGGCAGAAATCTCAGCACAGGTGTTCGGAGCCAGAGGTCAGAGCAAGTGCAAGTGTACCAGGAGCAGTGAGGAGGGAGGGAGTCCTTGCTGAGTGACTGCCCAGAATGTCCATTTGTCACTTGCAGCTTATTTTTGCAAGTTAGTCCATCTCTAGTGCCTAGGTGGATACAGAGTCCTGAACAGAGCAGATACATGAGGCGACTGAAGCGAAAGATGGAAATTCTGGGTGAATCTTCTGCAACATTCTTAAATTTCAGTAATGGCCTTCCGTCCTCCCCTTGTGAAGGAAACCACCTGGGCAATGGCCTGGTGTTCCATCACCAGTGTCAAACATCCGGACACAGGACCAGTAAGCTGGGGCCTCTGACACTGAACAGTTCTGTGACCCTGGGGAGTCGCATAACCCTTTGGGGCCTCAATTTCATCTTCTGAGACATGGGGATAACAGTATCTCCCCAACCTACTCTGTAGGCTTATTGTGAAAATCAAATAAATCATAAGAATGCCTCAAATTGTGAGAAACCTGAAAATGCTGCAGAAGCCCAAAAGCCTTATCAGGCTCCCCTCTTTTAACTTGAAAAAATAATGCTTTTTACTTGCCACTCTTCTTTGCAGAGTTCAGAGTCTTCAAAAAGCATTATTTTCTTGACAGTCACTGATACTTTTCACGGACCTGTGTTAGGAAATCAATCGAAGAGGCTAGCAAACTTTGGCACAAGTTAGTTTTAATCTGGGAAATAAGCTAACCCATTTACTCCCTAAGCCATGGCTATGACTTTAAAAAACAAAAAACTATTCATGGCTTCTCTAGTAGCTGCAGCACAGGGAGCCCCCCCACCTCCCCGGATGGAGCAGCATGAAGTGTCAGCTCAGTAGCACATAGGCAGCGGTGGGGGGAGCCATGCGGAAGCCCAGCACCCTAAGGATGCTACTTGGGTTTGGTCTTACTATTGGGTTTAGTCCGGGTTCTGGATTTAGGGTTGCGCTGCACATCTGAAAAGACAAAAACAATTAGTGTAGTGTAGTAACGACATCTAATATTTAACTAAGGACTTTTAACTTTACAAAGCGTTTAAAAACTTCCATTTTGCCTGAGTGACTCCCAAGCTACAATCAGGCAATGTGCCCAAATTTGACCCTAAGTTGGTTACTGGGATTCAGAACTCGTTTTCCCAAAGTTAAAGTGTAGTCAGCTAGTTACCTGAGTTCTGGGTACTGGAAAAGAGGTCAGGGAGAGTGGAGAAACAGGAAAAACATTTCCTCCCTCCTTCCTATACTTATTCCAAGATTGGCAGGAAAAAAATCCAACTGGAGCTAGTATCCAGAATCCTCCCACATCCGTTCCTTCACCTCTGCCTCCCGGTCCCTCGCCCCGGCCTCCAGCCCTGCCCTCAGGACGGAGCAGGGGGCCTCCTGCCCTCAGGGCGGCTCTCCCTGACCGCTAGGTGACACCAGGCTGCTCCCTTGGAATCCTGCTGACTGGCTGCCGCCACCTCATCCCACATTTGGTCATCTTGTTCAAGCCCTCATCTTGCTCTTGGTGTATCTCCCTGCTCCCCGCTCCCAGCTCCTAAGTGAGGCTGGCCTCCCGGAGATCAGAGTCTAAGCCACCATTCATCTTTGTAAACTTCCCTCTCGATTCCTGTCTTCATTCACAGCTCAGAGCACAATGATTTGCTAGTTATGGTAAATACTGACATAAAACAAAAATAAACATGTCTCCTACTCCGTCCAGATCTTCCCTATACCTAGCACGCATGACCCTCCTTCCTTTACCAAACGTAAGCAGCTATCCCCTCACTGCACATCTCTGGGGGGATGGGGGGCATGATCTCATGCTCTATCTAACACACAAATATGACACTGTTTAAGCCATATGAGTCTTACAATGCTCTCATTGCATTTCAAAAAAATTTTTTTAATGTTTTTATTTATTTTTGCGAGAGAGAGAGACAGAGCATGAGTGGGGGAGGGGCATAGAGAGAGGGAGACACAGAATCCAAAGCAGGCTCCAGGCTCTGAGCTGTCAGCCCAGAGTCTGACGTGGAGCTCAAACTCATGAACAGTGAGACCATGACCTGAGCCAAAGTTGGACACTCAACCAACTGAGCCACCCTGGCGCCCCCTCATTGCATTTTTCAAAGGAGCTGCCTGCTAACCCTAAGGAATGTCCAATTTATGGATTTCCTGGGGAAGTTTTTGGGTCTCCTGCATGGCATGTGGACTTCCTGGCTTAAGAGCCAACTCCCCTAAGCTTTGCAACGCTTCTCATGCTCTGCTTTTGAGCCCCCCCGACAATGACTCTGACGGGGTATCTGGAAGGAGGGGCAGGGTGGCTATGTTTGTGTAGGTAATTGTTTATAGGTTGGGGACACACTGTGTATAGTTATCTTCTACTTAAAATTAATGCTTTTTTTTTTTATCCTGGATTTAACCTCATCCCCAAGATCTTTATGGAAATCGAGAAAAACAAAGTCACTCATTCCACAGTGAGCTAACTTCTCCAGGTTAACACGAAGGCCTTTGGCATGGTTTGCCTATTTATTTTTCTGAAATCTGGAAAAAGTCTAGTTTGCAAAGTCTCAGGATAAAATTACACACTGTAAAATGAAAAATTTTTAATCCAGAAAACTATCTCACATGTAGTCAAATGTAAAGCTAAAGGATTGTCACACTTGGAATAATTGGCGTTTTACTCGTTGGGAGTTAACGGAAAGAGAGAAAATGAGCTCAGTCTGGTGACAGTACAAGTACACCATACCCAGGCGGGAGACTGGAGGGCATGGGCTAACCTACTGCTTTTGCTGAGGGCGTAGGTGAAGGTAGGGGTGACCATGAAAAACAGAAAGTAGCCATCTTTCCCGTGCCATCCCTTATACTAGGAGCTGTCCTGGGATCAGACCACAAAGATGAAAACAAAAATTAAAAAATAGCCTCCCTTGGGGATACAGAGACCTGCTCGAGAGCAGGTGATGCACTAATTAGAGATAAGAAAATAAAGAGTAGGGGTGTCTCAGTGGCTCAGTTGGTTAAGTGTCCAACTTCAGCTCAGGTCATGATCTCACAGTCCGTGGGTTCAAGCCCCATGTTGGGCTCTGTGCTGACAGCTCAGAGCCTGGAGCCTGCTTCAGATTCTGTGTCTCCCTCTCTCTCTGCCCCTCCCCTGCTTGCTTTCTGTCTCTGTCTCTCAAAAAAATAAAAACATTTTTAAAAATTAAAAAAAATAAAAAAAGAGTAAATTCCTTTTCCCATAGAATAAAGGTGATTGTTTTCATCACAGAAAATCCAACAAGTATCAAAAACTAAACTCAAAATTCTGTGTAAACCTCCAGCAACTAGAGACAATGTCTATCAATATTTGGATACAATTTCCTTCTGGTCTTTTTAAAAAAAAAGAGTTAAAAAATGCTTTAAATAAGAGTTAAATAATGCTTTAAAAAAGTGTGTCATATCCTGTTTCCTTACATTTGATATTTAAATATAAAAATTCCCCATGTTATTATAAACCATTTTAATAGTGGTATAATATTCAAGTATATTTATATAGCACTATTTATTTACCCTTTCCTCCATGATTGGAGGTAGGTTGCTTCTATTATATACAATGATACATTGAACATCTTTGTATATTAATCTTTTTTTCTGTATTTAGGATTACTTCCTTGGACTACATTCTCAAGGGTAAAATTACTCAGCCAAAGGCCAAAGTATACGCATGTTTTTAAGGCATATCAATACATACTTGCAAATTATTTTCTCAAAGAGCTCTATGTCTATCCACTCACGAGTATTATCTGTAAAACGAACTACTTTGCCCCTTCTGACCAGCATTATGTTCTTTTGTTTTCAAAAATCTTTGTCAGTTTTAGAAGTAAAAATTGTATCTCATGTTAGTTTAGTAGTTGACAATTGTTATTCATTTGGTTTTCTTTTTTGTTTTCTTTCTTACTCGGAGTTGTCCAAATAAGATAGTAACATAGTTAAACTGTATGTACATTCCTGTGAAAAGTAGGAGCCAGTAAACCAGCACTAAATATATTAATATTTTATTATTATATATTATATATAATATATATATAATATATAATAATTTTATAATATATATTTTTATTATTTAATATTTAATATTTATTATTATTTAATATTATATATTATAAATATATTAATATTCTTCTAAGATATCTGTGACCCAAACAAGTTTTGTTTCATAAATACAAGCTTAAAGTAAAATGAGAAAGCAAGCCTCACCTTTCTTTAGAGACTTTGAGGACTGGTCTACTGGCTTGATTTCTTCTTCTTCCTCTTCTTCTTCTTCTTCTTCTTTTCTTCCCCCTCCTCCTCCTCCTCCTCCTCCTCCACCTCCTCCTCCTCTTCCTCCTCCTTGCTCTCTTTCATTTTCTTCTTTTCCTCTTTCAGTCTCCTTCTCTCGAGACCACATCAAACTCTCTACTTCTCTCTCCAGTTCTTTATTTCTTATAAGGGTATAATGAAATTTCTCATTTACCGCCTCAAACTTCTCCTCTGCTTGTCTGGCTCTGCTTTCAACCTCTCTGATGTGGACAAAGTACAGAGAAACACAACAAAATGGAAAGGTTTGAAAAAGTATTTTTCATGTATAGGAACGCATAATGTAGAAGAGGCAGTAGAATCAGATATGTGTATCTGTAAGGTACAAAGAAGCCCAGAACTGGGGTCCCAGAACTCTGGATGGTGATGTCAGGGTGGCAGTCATGCTGTGATTTAAGAATGTAACATATTTATAATTTCTTAGTGAATCTGACTTTGGGTATTTGGGTTTCTCCATCAATACCCAGGGAACCCCTTTTTCCAGTAGCTAGTTTTGGCTTCTCTTCATTGATGTGAAATCAACATACTAAATCAATAGTGTCTCTTCTTTTCCAGGACCTCTAATACCAGATCTTACAATCAGGAAAAACAATTTGAAATGCGCTTCTTACTTCCTAGAGCGCATGTTATATGTCTACATGGCTCTGCTCTTCTCTTGGCATTCACGACCATCTTAACTGTATTGCCCTTCCTACTCATGGGGTTGTGTAGCATTCTTTCTTGCACAGAGTAGTTTCTCCCAGTTCTGTCTCTAGCTCATCGCTGAGAAACATACTGGACAGACACTCCTAACACCCTATTCCGCCCCCACACACCCACACACACTTTCACTTCCTCCATCTCCACTATGGAAGAGGATGGATGTTCCTGGGAAAGCAGGCTCATTCGTTGGCACTAGCAGACTTGGAGATACCTAACCTACTAGTGAGGATAAAGGGAGCAGAAGAAACAAAGGTAAGCCAAGAAGTGTGGATTTCTCAGCTACACCTCCTGGCCGGTGATCTTTGTTGTTACCATGGTGGAGTCTCATACTTACGTTAGCTTCTCCTGTGTGTGTTCAATTATAGCCATTGCTTCAAGATACTTTGGGGCCAATGTACCTTGACTAGCTGATTCTCTCTGACAAAGGAAATAAGCAGTGTGAATGAACTGAGAGTCCTAACAGTTAATATTCTACTTCTTCAGGATGTTTTGGACCAAGCCTTCCAGAATATTTTTTTCTAGTATCCATACTTACATAGTAAATGATAAAGCACAATCTTAACACCAAAAAAGAATAGGGACTACCTGTGGCTACACAGCATACTAGCTTCCAAAGTAGTCATGCTATAGGTGGATATACATTTGATTAGAATTGTAAAGAAGCAGGGAAAAACAATATCAATAAAAAAAAAAAACAAGGAAAGAAGAAAAAGTTTAAAAACAAAGAGAAGGCTAAACATGTTTCTGTAAGAAGTCAAGTTAACTGTCAACACAGGAAATTAACTGTGTTTTTCTTAATAATGTACTTCACTAAGCACATAACATTGCAATATCAAATCAGATCTTTCCTTAGGGAAACTCCATAAGGTCCTTAGGGAACTTCCTCCATAAATATCAAGGCAGTGAAAATAAGAAAAGAAAAAAACAAACCCCACCTCTTTAATTTATCTTGACTCTACAAATATTCTAGGAAACAAAATAAGAGAAAGGTATTCAGAAAACAAAAATGATAAGCATATTTAAACATAAATCTCATGACACTTTCCCAGAAGTGTACATTTTAAAAACTGAAGGATAGTTGATGCACGATGTTACATTACTTTCAGGTGTACAGCATGCTGGTGGGACAAATCTGTACACGACGCTGTGCTCACCACAAGCATAGCTACCATCTGTCACCATACAGCTGGATTACATGTCATTGGCTATATTCTGTGTGCTGTACCTTTCATCCCTGTGACTTATTCATTCCATAACTGGGAAGCCTGTATCTCCCACCCACTTTGCCCCTTTTTGCCCATAAACTGTGTTAAAGTTTCATTTATCCTTCTTTCCCAACCTGAGGCGCGTGAAAGGGAAGTCCCACATTATAGATGGAAAGGGAGCTTGAAGACGGTAGGGAGCCATCATCCACACAGAGGATCTAGGGGGTTAAAGCAAAAACCTCATCTGGGCCTCTTTGTTCTCACCCACACAGCCAATTGCACTATGCTAGCTTTTCCTAAAAGAAAACCAGTGGATGGGGCACCTGAGTGGCTCAGTCGGTTGAGTGTGTGGTTTCGGCTCAGGTCATGGTCTCATGGTTCGTGAGTTCGAGCCCCAAGGCAGGCTCTATGCTGACAGCTCAGAGCCTGGAGCCTGCTTCAGATTCTGTGTCTCCCCCTCTCTCTGCCCCTCCCCTGCTCATGCTCTGTCTCTCTCAAAAAATAAAATAAAACATTAAAAAAAAAAAAAAGAAAGAAAACCAGAGGAAAGAAACTATGTGAAACATTTTCACTGTTACTCTAGCCCTTTTACTCTCTTCTTATTGTCCCAGTCACCTATTCTTTTTTTTCTGTTTTGCTCCCTTTTCTTGGGTAGTTTGTTTGGAAAGTAAATGCTATCATTGTCCAGCTTGGACTAGCAGCATGTGACTTGGCTGTGCCCATACAGCACATGCCACTAACTTATTCATTCTATGAGGCCAAAAGAAAGATCTTCAAAGCAGAGGCTTCTAGAACTGGAATTCCACACAGTTTACAGCTGTATGAAACAACTTTCTAGGTAGAAACCAAAGTAAACCAGTACTCTGTGTACACCTGAGCCTTCATTCAGACTCTCCACATACATTCAACAAATACACAGTGGACCCTTGAACTACACAGGCTTCAACTGTGCGTGTCCACTCTTACATGGATTTCTGTCACAGTCTAGTACTATACATGTCTTCTCTCTTCCTTATGATTTTCTTAATAATGTTTTCTTTCCTCTAGCTGACTTCATTGTGAGAATACAGTACGTAAGTCATGTCATATATGAAATACGTGTTGACTGTGTTATCTGTAAGGCTTCCAGTCAACAGTAGGCTATTATGAGTTAAGTGTTTGGAGAGTCAGAAGTTACATATGGATTTTTAACTGTGCAGGGAGTCAGTGTCCTTAACCCCTTAGCTGTTCAAGAGTCTACTGTATATTTAGTTACAGCGTTCAAGGAAAATGTCCCTCTGCCTTGACACTGGCAAGCACAGATAATGTTCTGTGGTCCATTTCAAAGCCTTCCATAGGAAATTCCCACGGCATCCTCTCTGCATGCCTGGCGGCCTCCCTCCACCACCCATATACTGATACAGACACCTCAAGGCTAATCACAGCCACTGCGTTAGGCCCTCTCCTAGTTTTCCTAGGCTTCCTCTGGCTTCTGTGGTCTGTTACCCCGTAAAATAGAGACAAACATGGGCCCCATGGCTCTCAGAAGTGATTGGATCGCACCTTCCTTATTTGTGCCAATCTGCTGGAGCTTTGCACTTAGCCTCTGACTCCAATTCCGTCTTTGGCCTTTTTGACTTGGTCTCCCTCAGGTTTGACTCTACTAATGGGCTTTGGGTTGGACAATATCTCTAGTTTGACACTATCTCAGGGAGGATCTGGCTCCAGGCCTACTTCTTTGGGATCCAACTCCCAGCACTGGCACATTGCCCTATCAGGCTTGGACGTATTTTCTAGAACCACCAATCCAAGGGCCCTTCCCTGTTGCTGCTATAAAATAGGTAAATCAGTCACTGCTCTGGCATACATGGTACTGTGAGAGGGAAACAGACTTCTAAGGGCCACCTTCAGGCCAATGGCGAAGTAAGGGCAGAACATCTAATCTTATGCTAAAAATTCTGCTGGTCTCCCCAAATCTGGCTCCTGCTCACCCTTCCGCAGGCGTTCACAGGTGACCCAGCAAAACCTCTCATTGTCCTCGTAAACTTCTAACCCTTTATGCACACCCAGAATCTGTGGTGTGAAGGCGAGCCTGAAAGAGACTGCTTCTGGGATCTTGCTTGTTGGGGAGCTGAGCTGTAGCCAGCCCTGCGCGTGTGGTCAAGCAGCACGGTTTGGGGGGGGGGTTGCCTCGGGGAGAACTTGCCGGATTTAGTCATCCCGTCTCTCCACCAGCCAGTTGGGATGTTACAGAATTCCGGCTGCTGGTAGTACAGGAACAAGGCTGGGATGACTGTGACTCAGAGAGGCACACAAGGGGTGCGGGGCGCCGAGTAACCAGAACTGACCGACCTGGGCTGCCTCTGAAAGCAAAGTGGCCTCCTCCCGGGAAGGACGGCGGCAAAGCCAGCGCTGCCTGCAGGGATCACTTGTCTCACCAGCGACTCAGGCACAGTGACAGACTAGGTGTGCCTGGTTCGGGCAGCGCTGGCCACATTATGTACACAGGGCCTGCTCGGAGTACAATCCTGGGAATTCCCGCAAAGCCCTAACTCCTGGCTGAGGAGCGTTTTGAACAACAGAGGGTCCAGCCTGTTCCAGTAGACACTAGGGCATCAGCGAACGGTATGAATGAGGCCCTGGTTAGCAGGCCAAGCTACTAGCCTCCCCAGGCTGGTGGTGACTTATCACCACTCCTGTTGAGATATCACTCATATCTCAACCCTCAGATAATCCCATACCTGAGCCATGTGCAGGAGGGCATACTAAGAGTAACTGGAATTCTCCATGCTTAGGTCACTAGCTTCCCAAGGGTCTGGAGCTATTTGTCACTAGAAAGCTGGGGCTCCTCGATCTCTTGGAGCTCTCCAGTTCTACAACTCAGCACCCAGGGATGTGACAGGATATACCTGTGCACCCCAGCTTTCTGCTCCCCGATCCCATCTTTTTCTCTTGCCTTCCCCAGTGCTAATCAAATGTACTGCCTCCTGGGAGTCCTGTTTTTAGACCAGCAAGAGAGAGTGCAGCTGCCTGATAGGTCTGGCGCCTTGAACCTGCATCCCTACAAATGGTTATTTATGTTCTTAGGTTCAGAGACTGTCTGAAAAAAAAATAAATGAATAAGCAAGCAAACAAAAGCAAAAGAAAAACTTACAATAGAAGTTTTGGAACCCTAAAGCGCCCTGAGGGAGCGCTGGTACTTTTGTGACTGACAGGTGCAAGGAGCCCAGACCCCGCCTGCTCACCTGGCCTGCAGCGCAGTCCAAGATGGTCCTTCCCCCAGCTCCACCTCCTGCCCCGGATGCCTGACCTCACACGCCAGTTGAAGGAATCTTCATTCTCTGGGTAGCCCCATACCCAAATATCAACCTTGTCTGTGCTGACCAAGCACGATGAGTCTCTTCTGTGTGAGCCCCTGGCGACCCCTTTCTGCCTGTGAGTGTTCCAGCCACCACCGCATAGGATGAATGAATTCGTCTTTACCTCCAGGAATTTGCAAGTAATTATACAGCCGCCTGACATTTTGCTCCATTCCCCAGACCTTATAGTCCATGAGCACGCAAATGGTTCGATCTTCGGTGGTCTACAGAAGCAGCATCAGCAACCTTCCGGAGCCTAGAGGTAGACTTTCGGGGCCACATGGTCCCAGGTGAGCCAGTCACACGGCGCCACGCCGTGCCAGATGGAAAGGTGGGATCCTGGGGCCGGGCCCCTACCACCAAAGACAAGCTCTGCGCCCGCGGTTTTGCCCCAGGCTACACAGGCTGTTTTCCTGCCTGGTTTGGGGATCCGGGAGACTTGACCCTGACTCCTAGCCTGGACGGCACAGCAGGGGAGACAATCTGAGGCAGGAAGGCCCTGCGTGGGATTGGTGAGGTTAGGAGATGACACAGCGGTACCCTTTACGTCCCTTTTCAGTATGGGTCTTATGACACACGACTCCTGACTGACTCTCCATGTGATTTCTCCCAGTTCTTCTTACAAGATTTGGAACCTACTTCCCACAGCCTCCCTGGACATACACCCCTGCAATCGGCCACACCTCTGCCTTAGTCATCCAGCTGCTTGGCCAGGCCCTACCCTCACCGCAGCCCCACTGCACACACCTTCACCTGCTCGGATGGACCTCTGACAGCGAAACAGTTCGTAACTGTTGGGCTGAGAAACGGATTCGATCTATGGATTTCTGGCAACCCCCTACCCCCACCCCAGGAAGGCACATGGTACAGACATACACACAAAATACTACATACCATTTTGGGGGATTAATGGGATGAAGGCATGACATCCTGTACACAGAGACATGCCAGTCTAGAACTGACTTATGTCTACCACGGTCCTAGAACTTTCTGTGGAGGAATCTTAAAACTATTTTCCTGGGGTGCCTGGGAGGCTAAGTCAGTTAAGAGTCTGACTTCGGCTCAGGTCATGATTTCACAGTTTGTGAGCTGGAGGCCCACATTGGGTTCTGTGCTGACAGCTCAGAGCCTGGAGCCTGCTTTGGATTCTGCATCTCCCTCTCTCTCTGCCCCTCCCCTGCTCACGCTCTGTCTCTCTCTCTCAAAAATGAATAAACATCAAAAAAAATTTTTTTAATCTATTTTTCTGAGTTTCTAAAAGTTTCCAGTCTCCCATTAATTCTTGTGGTTGAAGGTATATGGTTAATCACAGTTCTGAATAGAATCTGCTGAATGAATATGCTGAAAATATAAGTCAAATTTTGACCAAGATATTGTTAACTTAAGGAAGGCAATGAAATGCTCATTTTGAAATGAAGTTTAGGGGCACCTGGGTGGCTCAGTCGGTTGAGTGTCCTACTTCAGCTCAGGTCATGATGTCACGGCTCATGAGTTTGAGCCCCACGTCAGGCTCTCCGCTGTCAGCACAGAGCCTGCTTCAGATTTTCTGTCCCCCTCTCTCTCTGCCCCTTCCTCATTTGTGCTTTATCTCTCAAAAATAGTTAAATCTTAAAAAAATCTTCAAACTGAGGTTTAAAGAAGAGAATGAGAAGTTTTTATAAAGTTAAGGTAAAAACCAAGAGTTTTCCAGGGATGATTCTGGGAGGACAAAAACACCTGAAAAACAGATTATGTAGGAGCTCCTGATCCTCTTGGAGATAAAAGTTATATCAGATCCGTATCCTTTTTACATAATGTTAAATTTCTTAGCTTTTTCCTCTAGTTTTGAACCTCTGATTTGGGTTTCAGATACATACCCAGGAAGAGAATACATCTGTTTCATATAGAGGTTTGGTATGAACATTTTCATCTTCTTCAATTCTTCGAATGAGTTTTTCTTCTTCTGTGGATGTTGAAGGCTTCTAGGGCACAGAAACACGAAGGACCCGTTAGTGAGCTGGTGTGGGACACAGTGACAGGGCAAGATGCCTGGAGGAATGTCTGAATTTTAATTTTCGATTTGCTTTAGTCACTCAACAAGCATTTTTTAAGTTATAGCAAAGGGGGCGCCTGGGTGGCTTAGTCGGTTAAGCGCCCAACTTTCGCTTAGGTCGTGATCTCGCGGTTCGTGGGTTCGAGCCCCGCGTCGGGCTCTGTGCTGACTGCCAGCTCAGAGCCTGGAGCCTATTTCAGAGTCTGTGTCTCCCTCTCTCTCTG